TCTGATGAAGCTCACAGAGTGACCTTGGGCCAGTCACTCACTCTCAGCCTAACCTACCTCACAGGGTGGTTGTGAGGATAACATGGAAAAAGGGAAAGGAAGCATGTATGCCACTGTCAGCAACTTGGAGGAAAGGTGGGATATAAATGTATATAAATGCAACAAATAAATAAATTCGGCACCGAAACAGGAGCATCTTGTTCATAGTTCCATGCAGAGTATCCTTCAAGATGTGCCTGCACTACCATTTCCATCATCCCAAACCGGCAATTAAAAAACAAAACAAAACCCTGCTTAGGACATTTGCAAAGCTAAGTAGGGTCTGGTATGGTTTCAAATTAGATGAGGGGCTGCGTGTTCACATCGCTGCATTCCAGGGGGTTGGACTAGATGGCTCTCAGTGTCCCTTCCAAGTCTTTGAGGCTGATGGGAGTTGAACAACATCCAAAGGGCTAGAGCATGGGTAGGCAAACTAAGGCCCGGGGGCCGGATCTGACCCAATCGCCTTCTAAATCCGGCCGGTGGATGGTCCCGGAATCAGTGTGTTTTTACATGAGTAGAATGTGTCCTTTTATTTAAAATGCATCTCTGGGTTATTTGTGGGGCATAGGAATTTGTTTATTATTATTATTTTTCAAAATATAGTCTGGTCCTCCACAAGATCTGAGGGACAGTGGACCGGCCCCCTGCTGAAAAAGTTTGCTGACCCCTGGGCTAGAGGTTCCTCACTCCTGATCTATTGAATTACCAGTAGGATATGAAATTGCAAGGCTTAAGCCAGCCTTTGCCAACCTAGCACCCTTTAGATTAGGTGCCGGGCATGTTTGGCCCTCTGGATGTTGCTAAATGACAACTCCAAACAAGCATGGCCAAAGGCTAGGGGTGATGGGAGTTGTAGTTCAGCAGCATCAGGTGGCCCAAAGGTTCCCTGTTCCAGCTGTTTTGGACCATGACTCCCAAAAGCCCTAGCCGCCCCTATAGGAACACCATGAATGCATATAGCAACATTGCTCAAGTTTGTCTGAGAAATTGTTCGGGAACAAGTTGGCTAGGTTTGGGGAACAGAGTGAGCAAAGGCTGTGCACTGTGAAACAGTCAACCTTTGCATCAGCATTGCTTATGGATCAACATTCAGTATCAGCGGAAGCAATTAGGTAATGAATTGGGTAGTGCATGGACTCTGGGGGTTTGCTAAATGTGTCACAAGCCCAAAAAGTTATTAAGCCATAATGAAAATGGTTATTTGGCCTTATAAGGTTATGAGCTGCCTCCGCTATCTCTTAAGTAGCTTCTGTCAAAGCGAAGGCATAGGTAGCTTTCAAGTGGGACCCAAGTCAGTATTAAAGACAAGCAGAGAATTAGAGCAAACTGTTAGCTAGAAATTAATTACTGCATGTAATAATACAAATGGCCTCCTCACCCCACGATGAAAATCTTCCATGATGCCTATTAAAACTTGCCTTCTAAAGAGCTTGTTTTGCAGCCCTTTTCTTTTGAAGAGGGTACATGTCCTGAGTGCTTCGGGCTATTTCCCCTTACACTTACGGTATTTTGCTGAGGTATACACCAAAGGAACATTAAGAATTGGAAGGGACCATAACCCCCTGCAATGCAGGAATCTTTTGCCCAACATGGGGCTCTACTGGCTTGGTGAACTTCTGTACAGGGTGTGAGATAGTTTGCAACCAGGGGTGGGGATCCTTCAGCCAACAGCTCTAATTAGGCCCATGGGTCTAATTTGGGTCTAATGCATGGGTAGCAATTTGGACCGCAAGGGAATTTCCCTTAAATCATGCCCTGATATGGTGTCATATCAGGTGTGGGGCAGTTAAGGACACACCTCTCAAGAAAGAATTGCATTCTTAAAGTGGACTTCCCATTGTACCTTTGCAAATAAAGCTCATTGATGCTGCCAATCAGCTGATCCATTGCCCAGATCCAGTTCCCCGCTTCTGGCTGTGCACTGTGTAATGTGATTGGGGCATGTGCTCTCTAATTGCCACAGGATTCCCCTGGATTCCTGTGGGGGAGTGTAGCATAGAAAGAGTCACTTAGAAGAGAAGATGAATTATAGCAGGCAGAGAATGGGTTGAGCACTTCCTTCCTGTCAAAAGCTGCTTCGGTGTTGAAAATTTCATAACACCATTGGGATTTCAACATGTTCATGGTCAGCTTGTATCTTGGTCTTCATAAGAGTTATGGAACAGTAGGGCAGGAATGTGAAGGTCGTCTCCACTGCTGCAATTGCTGTGGTTTTGTCCACACACAGGAATAAGGTTAATCTGTCTCGATAATGTAATACATTGTTTACCTTCAGCTATTCATAAGCTGAAATTTCACAAATGCTATGAATTTGAACCGGAATTAGCAATGCATTATGAACAAGTTCTACATGTGTAAGCAAATTGTCCTTTCTGTCCAATTCTCCCTGCTCTGACTCAATATACTGTATCCCATTGCCATTACTGGGATTGACATTTTGCAATAGCTCCCATGAGCAGCAATTTCAGCATTCATCCTTTTAGAGACAGTCACAAGCTACAAATTTAGTGGCCTGACCAGAGCTGATTCAGGCTGAATGTGACACATGGCAGCAGCATGCAGATGACCAGCTCATGTGCCAAATGTTTGCAAGCAGCTGGAATTTGACTGAGGTCATCAGAAAAGACCAGTAATGGGGATCCTCTGGGCCTAATAAGGCCTGCTCATTTGGTGTTGTATATGACTTCAGGTGCAGGGCAGGTGGGTGTGGCTTAAGCAAAATAGCCTGAAGTCTAACAGGTCTGATTAGGCTCCTGGGCCAGAATGTCCCCACCCCTGTCCTTCCTCACAAGAAAAAAACAAACCCCTACCAGTGTTTCTCAAACTTGGGTCTCCAGCTGCTGCTGGACTACAACTCCCATCATCCCTAGCTAGCAGCACCAGTGGTCAGGGATGATAGGAGCTGTAGTCCAACAACAGGAGGAGACTCAAGTTTGAGAAACACTGCACCATCCTGAGCTCTCTCGAAGGAGCATGGATTATAAGAGCAATAAAGACACATGTAGTAAGTTTAATGTTTTTCATCTGCCTTTTTATTTTATTTTTAAAAGTTTAAATTGTATTTTGCAAAGAAAACAGGAGCCGTATCAGGGTGCTTTAAAGATTTAACAAATATAGAGGAGCACATGGGGTGGGGAACCACTTTTGTCAACTGCATAACTTATCAGTAAAGAATTCTGCATGAGACACTGGGCTTTTGTTTCCCACTGGCTAGCTATGTACGGTTATTATAATCTCAAGGGCCAAGTTTGTGTTGCTGTCCTTCAGCCAAGGACGTGGCATGTCAATACACCTCTTCACTGCTTACTGCGCTGAAACACCCCTTGGCTGTAGAGATGAAGGCCAAACTGGGCAAATTCCTTGGCGACTATGCACAGAAGTGGCACACCTCAGGCCCAGGGACCTAATGTTGGGCATTCCACCACCACCCCCCCAGTCTCTCCAGACCACATGCTTCACTAGCCCTGCATCACAATCCCCACCGAGTTTTTGCCTGGCTAGAAGGTGCCCTTGAACTCTGATAATGCTTGCTTGGATAAGAGAGCATGAAGCTTACAGAACAAAAGCTCCTGCCATTTTTGCCTCTGGCTCCACTCACCACTGCATGCAGCTCTCCAAAGATTTCCCAGATGGGAATGTGAACCTCAGGGTGAAAAGGGTTATACAGAACAGTTAGGTTCAGATACAGTAGGCCAACTGATGGGAGGAGAAGCGGGAGAGAGCTATTGCTGTGCTTGCCCCGCTTCTGGCTTCTGCAACTGGTTTGCTGCTACAGAAAACAGGACACTGCCCTATGTGGACCTTTGGAAAGATCCATCAGAGATGTGCAGCAGAATCCATGTCAAAAATATGTATGTTTTCAGGAAAAAACATCTGTGGCTCCCTAGATGTTGCTGTGAAGAACTCCCATTGGCTAGGCTGGCTGGGAGATGACGGGAAAAGTAGTCTTTCCTGCAGGTTTCAAAGCTCACGCCCACTCCCATCATCATCCCACTGGCTGGACTAGATAGGCACCCATCATCATCTGGGGGGGGGGGGGCACGATCCCCGCACCGATTTTTGCCATTAGCAGCTGGTTACTCAGAAGCAAGTCCCACCGAGTTCAGCGAAGTTTGCTCCAGGGCAAATAGGCTGCGTGGGCGCCGAGTCTGGCGCACAGCTTTAAAGGGAAGTTGCAAACTTATATGTCCTTCCCTTTACGGATGCGTCTCCAATCGTGCAGGAGAAGCATCGACCAGAAAATGCAGCCCAACTGCTGCGAAAGGTTTTTTGTTTTTGCTTTTTTAAAGGAAAAGAGAGAGAGAGAAAAACCAGCCAGCCAAATAACGGCCCCGGCGCCTCAGATAGGCCCCGGCTGGTGCCATGTGGAAGGGATTGATAATGACGCGTGCAGCCTCTTGCGTCTCTGCAAGCGCCTGTCCCGAGGAAACCTGGCTGGTTTTTGCTCGCGAGGCAAAGAGCCTCCTTCTCCTCGGGCTGGAGGCGCCTCGACATGCGGGGACTCCCCAGAGCAAAGGGGAACTCCTTCGCCACCCAGCCCAGCACCTCCCTCCCTCGGATTCGTTTTCCCAACTTCTCAAAAACTCTGCGCGAGGAAAAGGGGACGCGACGGTTCCCCCATTAGCTTGGTTGTCCTGCCCATCCCCTCCCCATGGTATTCATGACCCTGCAGCCAGTTCCTTCCACTTTCCACAGGCTCCGATCTCCACGTCTCGCCTTCAACCTCCCCACATCTGTTTCTCGTTGAGATCCCTCCAACTTCTCCACCCCCCTTGTTGCGGTGTCGTCCCCCCGCGTTCTCCGCCCCCGTCCTTTCCATCCTTTTCACTCTCTCCCCTCCTCCCTCCTGCACCCTGCGCAGCCACAAATCAGGAGTTTGCAAGGCCGGGGGGTGGGCACCGCCTCCCTCCTCCCCCCCCCCGTCGTGGCTTTTCTCCCCTATTAATCATCCCCCTCCCTCCCCTTGAGCAGGAAAAGCCTTTGCATCTGCTTTTCCTGCTTTTGCAATCAGAGATGGGCCGGGATTGTGGGGGACCAGCCCCGCCCCGCCCGTCCCGGGGGACCCCGTCGGGCAGCGGTTGGCCGCCGCGCGGGGCGGGGCTTGGCTTTTGTTGGACGGGGCGGGAGGGCGTGACTGGCGTATAAGAGGCGCGCGGAGCCCGCTCGGCCGCTCTCCCGCGCCTCTTCCTCCCGCTGCTCGACGGCGCTGCTCTCTCGCGCTCTCTCCCCGGGATTGCCCACCTTCCTCTTCTGGGATTACAACCATGAGTACCACCAGCAGCAGCCGGAGTTCCTACCGCCGCATGTTCGGCGGGGCCGGCGGGCGGCCCAGCTCTTCAAGCAGCAGCCGCTACGTGACGTCGTCGAGCCGCTACTCGCTGGGCAGCGCCCGGCCCAGCAGCGTCCGCCTGGTGTCGTCGGCGCCCGGCGGCGGCGGGCTCTACGCCTCCAAGGCCGTGCGCCTGCGGAGCAGCCTGCCGCCGATGCGGATGCTGGGTGTCGATGGCGGCGTGGACTTCTCTCTGGCCGACGCCATCAACACGGAGTTCAAGGCCAACCGCACCAACGAGAAAGCCGAGCTGCAGGACCTCAACGACCGCTTCGCCAACTACATCGACAAGGTGCGCTTCCTCGAGCAGCAGAACAAGATCCTGCTGGCCGAGCTCGAGCAGCTCAAGGGCAAAGGCACGTCCCGCCTGGGCGACCTCTACGAGGAGGAGATGCGCGAACTGCGCCGGCAGGTGGACCAGCTCACCAATGACAAGGCCCGCGTGGAGGTGGACCGCGACAACTTGGCCGAAGACATCATGCGCCTGCGGGAAAAGTAAGGCGCGGGTCCCCTGGACGAGGCGGGGGGGGGGGGTTCGGGGCGAGGGCTGGGCTGGGCTGTTTGAGTAAACTACATTGGCCCCAATGGGACTTGGGGTTTGAGTAGTGGCTTGCCCTGCCAGACTTCCTGCTCTCCGAGTAGTGGTTCCGTCTGTGATGGCGCGCGCGCATCCTTTGCAAACAAAGGAAATGTGCTTCTCGTTTCAAAATGCCTGCAAATTTGTGCGAATTCAGCCAGCCAGATTGATTGATTTGTTGGTTGATTGGATGGTTAACACTTCCTCGTTCAGGTTACAGCTCTCGTTCTGTCCTTCTCCATCCATCCCTCTCCCCTTAGGAATGAAGTTGTCGCATCAGCGCTAAGCAAATATAAAAGTCTGAGCGTTCATTCATTCCTTTGATTCAGAAAGCTTGTGAATTCAGTCACGTGGGCTGATTCAGAATGATCACATTCACTTTGTGAATCGCATGAAGGACTCGTCATGTGAAAAAGTTCAGAAAACTTTTCCACAGCTGAGCCTGCGCTGGCTGGAGGCACTGAAGAGGCAGCTGGGCAAGCGCCTTTGTCTTAAGAATCTGCAGTGTGGTGGGTCCCGTTATTCACACTCTGCAGCACAAAGAACAAGGGATGAAGTTCCATTCTTGTTTTACTCTGATGCTTTAGCAGGGCGATTCCATTAAAGGGGAATTACTTGCAAATAAACATTGAGAGGTGTGGTTTACTCCCATGTAAGTGTGCATAGAATTGGGCTGCTAGCCCCACCCAGTTCAATAGACTTTACTTTGGCTTCAATTTGCATTTTTTGCTAGAAGCAAGGCCCATTGCACTGGGTGGGAATTTCTTCTGAGTAAACTTGTAGAGGATTGTGGTGCTAGCCTGCAATTCCTCACAGACTTACTTCTGTGTAAAGTTGCATAGATTGGATTGCACTGTTACTCTACCCATTGTTGAATCAGTTTATGCTGGTACTTTCCAAAGTTGCATGGTTGCAAGTGCCTGGTAATTTGCCACGTTGGTATTAGAATTATAAGGTCTAGATCAGGGCTAAGTTTGAATTTATGGTTTGGGGAGCTGCTGCAAACCTCCAGTTTTAACAAAATGTGTTAGGCAAACAATCCACAATTGTAGGTCATCTCTCCCTCCCACTCAGCTAGTTGAATAAGTGGGGTAGCCTTCCCCCCCTTCCCTCCCTTTTTTGCTGGGCTTATGTTTATTGGTGGATTTAACGCTGCTGCTTCTGCAAGAGTTCTGCTCCAAGTCTGGTCACACTGTAATGAAAACGGAGCCACACAAATGGAGGCATGGGGTGCTTTTGTGTGGAAGACCTCCCCCTCCCACACTCTTCCCCCTTTTGCTTCTCTTTCCCTCATGGGTGTGGCTGACTGTCCATCAAATCTGAACTTCACTTGGTCAGCTTTTTTCATTTCTTTGAATGGGTCCTTTAATTTTTCCAGACTTCAAGATGAGATGCTTCAGAGGGAAGAAGCTGAGAACAACCTGCAATCTTTCAGACAGGTTTGTAATTTCATACATCCCACCCCCCCACCCCCCGTTAAAGTTTTTAAGTGTTTGTTAAATTCTTACAAGAAAAAAGCGGAACGGAAAGCCACCTGGTGGTTGAAAATGGATAATGGGAGTGTTCTGGTTCTTCGGTACAAATTCAAGTAGTTCTTTCACTTCCCTTGTGTTTTGACTCATACGAAACAGTATTTCTGCATTTTTTAGCAGTATTGAAATGTTAAGATCATAAGAGCCCAGCTCAATCAAACCCAAAGGTCAGTCTAGACCAGCTTTCTGCTTTTGCACAGTGGCTAATGGGATTCCTCTGGGAAGCTGGCTACATTTGTTGCTCCCCAGCAACTTATAGTCTGATGCACGCTGCCTCTGTTCCTGGAGTTTTCTTCTAACCATGATGTCTAGTAACTATGAAGATCTATACTGGGGTAGCCGCCATGATGATGTTGACCTAAACCAATTTCCCCCAACCATTGGCCATGTTGGCTGGGACTGATGGGAGTTGTAGTCTAACAACATCTAGATGGCACCAATATTGGCTAACCTTGATCTAGACACATTGTCATATAACAGCATTGTTGCATTCAGATGCTGAAGATGAAAGGATAGCATATTGCCATGGGCCAAGTAGTAAGTTTGTGGTGGAGAAACTTTCTAACAAAACTTGCTGGTCATGCTTTCAGGCACTATGTTAACACCAGCTGTGTCCAGCTTTTTGAGCTGTGCTTGAATTTAGCAGAGGCACTTACAAGCACATAGCGCTCTTGCAGGGGCCAAGAATTGTTTCTGTTTTATCAACGTCTAGCCTGTTACCCAGAGAAGCTCTGTGGAATCGGTTTTTCAGATTGGTAAGGGTGAAAGGGAGCCATCTGTTCGCTTGGCTGAAAGGTATTAATGGTTTCTATGGGATTCACTATGGAATGCCGATGCAGGCATTAACAGCGACTGTGGTGGCAGCAGATTGAAATAATAGGAGCCTTTGTGTTCTGGGGGTGCTTATGGCAGGCTGCATTCTTGCTGGATGTGTAATGATGCAAGCATATTTAGAAACCCATAATTTAAAGCATTGGCCACTTCAGCTGGTCCAGTCTCTAACTGATTATTGAACAAGATTGTCCGCTAATTATATTGCTGACATGAAGACCGACCTAAAGTCAACAAGGATGTTAATTTAGGACTGCATAATAATTAATACTTCAGGCATTCCTTCCCATCCCGCTAGACTGGTTCACTGGACATTTGAAGTAAATAACATTTGGAGCCTTTCAAACCTTAGCCATTTTGCTTTGAAAAATGAAGCTTTTCTGCCTTAAGTTCTCTGTGTGCCAATTTTTAATACAATAACTAATTTTCAAACCTCTATTTCAAAGGAGAATGTCAGATGGAAACGGATCCTTTTAAGTAAAGCCATCTCCATAAGACAGTGAGAGTCTGAGTTTGGGCAAAATTCATGAAATAAGTTGCATTTTTCAATTAACTTAAAATAAAAATGTTTGCAACTTTACTGACTATATCCCCCCCCCTTTTGAGCCAGATTCTCAGTTTGTGAAAGAAACATCTTTAGCCCATACTCCTATACGCAACCTTGTAGTAAGCCCATTGAATCCTGTGGGAATTACTTTAGAGTTGAAGCAGGATAGTGCATTTGGTTTGAGACTTTCAAGTAAAAGAAGAGGAAGGTGAAATTCGAGAGAGCTGGGTGCACAAGCATGAATGAGACATGTGGCTTGCAGAGTTGTCTTCTACAGTTACTGGTGTGAGCCCCCAGAGTGACCCTAAACTGAGTCTTGGTACTCTTTGGATATGTCTAGTACTGCAGAGAGCTTCAGTCTCTGTGTAGCTCAGAGCACCTTTGTGCGTGGCCTGATAGTTCCATTTGCATGGTTGTCTGCCTCTGAGTGTGGGGAATCCGAGAAGGGATAACATAGCACATTGCTAGGACCACATCTGTCTTGTGGGTATTCTCCAAGACTTCCACTCAGGTAGAAAAAGATTACCAAATACTGAGCCTTCTTGACTCATTCCCCTTGCTTTGCTGGGACTCTTGATCTATCCTACATGAGCCACGTGACTGGGGGGAGCTATAAATAAAGGGAACAATGCACAATGGTGTTGTGTCCTCTTTCCTCATGTGTTTGCAATGTTGATTGAGGATTATTTAGCCCAGACCCATAATGCAGATGCAACACTTAGGAGCTTATTCTGTTTTTATTTTTATCTCTGCCATACTGTAAACCTAAAGCACACTGGCGATGTTCCAGCATTCTTGAGCACATGGAAGAATATGATAAGAGATGGTCATGCACAGATGATGTAATGAAGTGAACCTTTGGGTACAATATCTGATCTGGTAAAACACTTACCATGTAGGAAGCTGCATGCATTTTGCTGGTGAGATGTTACATGTGGTACAATACCACTGCATAGCTTAGGCATTTGAAAGAGAAAAAGCAGGATCTTGGAACAGAACTACTTAGGGTGGTGAAATCATTAAAATCCTTAACATTAGGCTAAGCATTAGCTTTTGGAAGCCCCGAGGCTGATTCCCCACTTCCACCTTCCTAGCTAACTCCAGGTATGCTTAGGACACCTTGTGGGAAGGAATAGAGAAACCAGTGTTGTAGAGAGGTAGAATGAAAGATACTTTGCTCACGCATTTAGGGGACATTTGACTTGGGTCATGGCTTGTCCTAGACAGAAGGGTCCTAGGTTACTGTCAATTGACAAGCTCTTTGGCAGCAGGCCCAAAACAACTTTGCTGGAGTTCACTGGGCTATCTTGACTTGATATAAGAGCTTCACATACTCAGGCTGGTCTGCCTGCAAGAATTGCTTCCTCGTTTTACTGTGCATGATTGACAGATGGAGGCCATGGAAGAACCAGCGCTCAGATCCAAATAGCCTAATTGCTACAACTCTGTGCAGCAGTGAAGTTGCCAGATACCTTTACAAGTTTAATTTAGTATGGATCCCAAGTTTGATTGTGACCTCCCAAACATAGGGGTTTAAGGCTGTGAAATGTGTGTGTGTGTGTGTGTGTGTGTGTGTGTGTGTATATATGTATGTATGGTGTCAAGCTTCCCTCCCCATAATTTAATGGCTCAGAATGAAATAGCAGCTCACAATGAGTGTTTTCAGCAAACTGTCTTTGAAGTCTGTAAAGTGAGACTTGAAAGAGATGAGGGTGTCCTGCTGGAAAGAGCTTAGGAAGGATAAGCTGCGTCCCCCTTGGTTGAAACATGGGGAAGAAAAATGCTAAATCCCTGAAGCTGGAAGGTGGGGGGCAAAGCTTGTATTCCTCTAGTATCCCATAAATGTCTCAGGGCATTCCTCTAAAATGGGTGAGGAACCAAGGGCCTCTCCAGCTGTTGTAGGATTCCTCAACTCCCATCAGCCCCAGCCAGCATAGCCAGTGTTCAGGCAATGATGGGAGTCATGGTCTTGCAGGGCTCCCCACCCCAGCCATTGTCTTCAGGCGTAAAACCTCAACTCAGCAATGCTTTGTTCCTAACTAGCATCTCTTGGCTAGTGACCTGCTTCACCACAATGCATCTCTATATGTATATATACAGATGCATATATACAGTTGAGCTCTTAGCCTTCTGCACATGTTAACTTGAGTATGTAGAGCATAGTTACATAGAGTGGGACTCTGCTTTTACCTCTCCCTCCCCCAAATTGTGTCACCCGCCCCCAACAATGGCATGCTCCGCATGTAGAAAAAAGCCCAGTGTGCAAGGAGCTCCATGCAGTGGGCCAGGCATGTGGTGCTCCAGCTTGCAGAAGCACATGCGTTCTTCTACAGGCAGAGTGAACCATGTGGTTGTTGAAGGTGCAACACCAGAGCTAAAACTGGCTCTTCTCTGCAGTCTACATGATTATGTCTTCTAAGTTTCCTTCATAGTTCTTTGCTTTCTCCATAATTGTGTTCCACTGAGAGCCAGCACCTGTTGCTTATTGGACTCAAAGGAACTCCTTCCCCAATAGTTCAAGCCCAGACTGTCATCTCAAGTCAAGCTGCAAGAGTGCACTCTAGTTATACTTGCATGTGGATATTTATTTATTTTTTAGTGCTAGCCACAACTGGGCTAATACTTTTGCTGCCTGAGCTTGTGTTGCTTTCCCAGACTCTCAAATAAAAATCTGCAATACCCCTAGCCAGCCAAGTTACTTTAGCATGGGGGGAGCCAATGTGGTACTCTCCAGATGGTACTGGACTGACAATTGGGCTGATGGAAGTTGGGAGTACAGCAACATCTGGAAGGGAGCACATTGACTACTCCTGCTTTAGCACCTGAGACTGAAAATCGCACAAGAACATCTCCCCTTTCTAACAGTAAAATAAATAACAGTTTGCTTGACCACTTATGACACTCCAAAAACATCTTCCAGCAATGGCACTCTTTCACTCTTTGCCTAAAGGTGTTGTTGTTCAAAGTTTTGAGGGGGAGAGTGGGCCACAATCACTAGCCTGGTGCATCTAGAACAATCTGCATTAGCTTTCAGTGGACCGAGCCTGTTCATTTTTCAGCTATACTTGCAACAGGTGCCTTGAGAGGAGGATATGAATTCTTGCTGTGGGGTCAGACTTGTCTGGGATAAGCAGTGAGCTTTCAGGCATGAAATCTGATTTCTGAAATGGCATTGCTGAGTTCCTGTGTGAAATAACTGGCAGCTTTGCACAGTTGCAGAGAAAACAAAAGTAGGTTCTGAGATGAGCGCTAATCTCTTTTGCTTACTGCCAAGTACACACAACACAACATTATCTGCCTTTCTGTTGTGGCTGAGCCCTGCTGTATTTTGCCGTCCTTCTCCAGCCCAGCTAATCCTTTGCCTGGAGTCTTAAATGACACCAACTATTTCTTTTGTGTAACAAACCTGCTGTCCTAAATGGAATGGAATGATAAAGTTTGTGGACATTCATTAGTAGCTTGTTTCAGGTGCATTAATATTTCAAATAACTTTCCTGACGTAATATCCTAAAGTTCCTAAAGTACTTGTATGCCTTTGATCCTGTTGCAATGAATTTAGTGTGTAACTAGGTTACTTTAACCACACAAAAACATGCCACACCATTCGTTTCATCTCAGACTGCATACAACTTCTATCTAAACTAAACTTTTTTTTTCTGGTGGTCAAATGTGTTTAGTCTAAGTTGAGATCACCTAGATACAGTGATGCTGGCTTTCCAGAAAAAATACTGGAAAATTTCTGCTACTCCATATTGATTTGATTCTGCATGTTTCAAACTGGTATTCATAAGCCAAACTAAAAGTATGTCATACTAACTTTAAAGTTTTTTCCGTAGCCAAAAATAGTTGAACTGAAATACTGAATTAGAGTTAGGGAATTCAATAAAGTACACTTGGTGTGCTTAAAATATTATAATCAAAAATTTTATTGGAAATTACTGATAATGGAATGATTAAGACATGACATGACAATAGTATGTTTTTTAATTAAGAAAACAATTGAAGGTGCCAATAAGATTTATACTTCCCCCTCTTTTGACTGAAAGCTGTGCAGCCTTTCTGAAAATAGCTCCCTAGAAAAAGTGATTGCAGTTTCAGATTTGACTAGACTTCGTTGATCATTAATTAATGTTATGAAACAATGACTTTCTCAAAATGGAAAATTGTATGCAGAAAAAATATAGCTGTGGAGAGCTTTGGTCGGATTCTGTGCTGTAGACAATTTTCCATGGAGAAATGTCAAACCTCCACCTCAGTTACTGAAGGAAGGAAGTGAAATCGAGCCGCTCCTTATTTAGACAGAAGTTTGTTCATTGCAGACATTTTTGCCCCATATTACAACATTCTCCCAGTTAGCTTATGAACGTTTCTGACACCTTTCCCCCTGTTGTTCCTCCCTCAGGATGTTGACAATGCCTCCTTGAACCGCCTGGATCTTGAACGCAAAGTTGAATCTCTGCAAGAAGAGATTATCTTCTTGAAGAAGCTCCATGATGAGGTAATTTTTGAACTCCCATCAGCTTTCAAATGTGATTCCTTAGGGGGGAAATGAATTGCATTGGTAAAAACGTTCAATCTCTGGAATGTCATCCTTTTCTTCCCTTGAAGGAAATCCGTGAGCTTCAGGCCCAGATCCAGGAACAACATATCCAGATCGATGTGGATGTTGCCAAACCTGATCTCACTGCTGCCCTGCGCGATGTGCGTCAACAGTACGAAAGTGTTGCTGCTAAGAACCTCCAGGAAGCTGAAGAGTGGTACAAATCCAAAGTAAGCGAATGGCCTTTGGCTTCAATTAGAGGATTTCTTTAATAAAATAAAATACTTTAGTTCAGCAGTTCTACATTTTGTCATTTGGATGCAAAGTGCTAATCTTAGTTGTCTGAATGTGATGGTCATGGAACTATTAGGGATCTACTGTAGGCCTTGATACTACAGAAAGCACTGCCTCAAAATGGCGGTATACTGCAGATTTCTTCAAAAAATAAAAATAAAACTTGTGTGTATGTTAGATGATTTATGTCCCACACTTTCTGTCACAAAAAGGATTCTGACAGGTGGCTTAATTATTTAATAAAATGAGACCATTAAAAGCAATCCATTAAAAATAAATAATAATTAGTAATGAGAGCATTTCACTCTCGTTTTAAGAGAGGGACACTTACAAGCTACACTCAGCTCAGGCTATGTAAGGTGTACACTCTTCGCCTCTTCCCAACCTCCAGTGCCCCAAAGAGAATACCAGAAACAGTTAAGAAACAAATCATAGTCTCCAAGTAACGCAACACAGAACTTTGGAAACTGCCGGAACTGAATTGGGTGAACACATGAACTTGGCAAGTCTGCCCAGGGATGCAGTTTTAGCTTCTTATCCATCAGCATTAGAATTCTTCTTATAATTCTTATTTATTGCCTACCCTTAACCAGCAGGTCCCAGGGTGGGTTACAACAATTTAAAATTCAGAATTAAAAACAGTTAAGACAGAATACAGTTGCAGGAATAGGGTGGGCCATGAAAGCACACACATCATATCTGTGTTAGAATCACTGATTTTATTTATATTTCGGTTAAAAAAATGTTACTTGGGTTTAACCTCTTGGAGATTTTCTGTCAAATACGTGTTATATAAATTTTCTTAATTTATATTTTGGATATTTTAAATTTAAAACATATTTTCAATTTTTAAAATAAGGGTGGTTCCTGGTGTTCCTTGATAAGTGGTACTTAATAACATGTAAAAGTTGAGAAAATGTAGGTGCAGCATTGTAAGTTCAATACTTCTAAGAATATACTGTATTTTTCCATGTACAAGATGCCCCCTATTTTGGGGGACTCCAAATTAAGAAAACACCCCTGAGCGCTACCCATGTATAAGACGAGCCCCAATTCTAAACTTAATTTTTGGTAAAAAAAAAACACCCTAGTCTTATACACGGAAAAATACGGTATTCCCCATAAAACTAGAATCAAAACTTACTTGCTTTGTTGTTCTGTGACAGGATCGTGTGTGTCTTTGTACCTTGATGTGTCTTGAAGGGATAGTTGCAGGCCAGTAACATACTGGTTTGTTTTTTTAAAAAAGTATTGTGTCCTGTTGCTAAGGTGCATCTGGCAAGCTGCAGATGGGTTTGGTTATGTTGTTAAAAGCAGTTGGAATTCTGTAGGGACTTCTCTGCTTGGTAAACAAATGTCTCACAGACACATATATCAGGAGGTCACATTGCAATTGTGAAACGAGCTTGTTAAAAAAGACAGGGTTGTAGCATGCAAGTCTTCATGACACAGAGGCCTAGTCCACTCAAAGTGGCTTGTCCTGTAAGGTGCAAATCAGCTGAGTTCTGCTTATCAATCATGCCCTTTGGTACCAGAGTTTAATTCTCCCAGTCCTTGATATGTGTCTTTGCTAAAAGGTGGGCTCTTGAAAAAGTTCATCTAGTTAACCTTGGTGTGGTGTTAGTTTGCAGATCTGTCTGAAGCAGCCTCCCGGAACAATGATGCCCTACGTCAGGCCAAACAAGAAGCGAATGAGTACCGCAGGCAAATTCAGAGTCTCACCTGTGAAGTGGATGCACTTAAAGGAACTGTAAGTGAAAGATGACGCTTGGAGGGGAAGGCTTTGGCAGGTGGTGGTGGTTTTTTAAGAAGAAAGGTATGTTTAGGTCTGCATTTCTCAGCCATTCTTTCGGAATAGCGCAACTTAAATATTAAAAAGGTAAAGGGACCCCTGACCATTAGGTCCAGTCGTGACCGACTCTGGGGTTGCAGTGCTCATCTCGCTTTATTGGCCGAGGGAGCCGATGTACAGTTTCCGGGTCATGTGACCAGCATGACTAAGCCGCTTCTGGGGAACCAGAGCAGCGCACGGAAACACCGTTTACCTTCCCGCTGGAGTGGTACGTATTTATCTACTTGCACATTAACGTGCTTTTGAACTGCTAGGTTGGCAGGAGCAGGGACCGAGCAATGGGAGCTCACCCCGTTGCGGGGATTTGAACCGCCGACCTTCTGATCGGCAAGTCCTAGGCTCTGTGCGTTAACCCACAGCGCCACCCGCGTCCCAGCTTAAATATTACATGTTTGCAAAAGAGACCTTTCAAACAATAAAGTTGGCATATGCCCTAACAAAGCTGCCTGATGTGGAAATGAGCCTGTGGTTCATCTCTGTCTCTGATCTCAAGCTGGTGATAAAACTAGGGCCAAGATCTCAGGCTACCCTAAAAATGCTTTCAATTGGAGATTCTAGGGATTGAATGTACAGCCTTGTCATGCATGTGATCTGCTGCTGAGCTGCTGTCTTTGCAGAATGTTCTGCACTTGTAAAATGAATCTAATCTTACGATTGAGTCCATTCTGCACATTCTTGTAGCAAGTGAAGGAGTCTTCTGTCTTCCATGTTTACACTTGGGAACATATAAATCTGCTTTAACACTGAGCCAGAAAGTTGTATTTCACTCAGGATTGTCTACACCAGGGCTGGCAGACATGTGGTCTTCCAGATGTTTCTGGATTAAAAAATACGTTTTTACATATGTAAACTTGAATCAGCCCTGGGCAGCATTTCTTAATGGTCAGGGATGAATTGAGCCATTGGGTTTTTTTTCGCTTTAATCCTACCGGAGTATAAACTCATTGAAATTAATAGACATTATTAACTCGGGTCCACTTGGCTGGATACAACCTATTGATTTCACCATTTTACCCATGAACTGAATGCTATCGCTTGAAGCCTCAGTGTATGCTTTTGTAAAATCTCTCCAGAACGAATCCCTGGAACGCCAGATGCGTGAGATGGAGGAGAACTTTAATCTTGAAGCTGCTAACTACCAAGACAACATTGCCCGACTCCAGGATGAGATCCGAAACATTAAGGAAGAAATGGCTCGCCATCTGAGCGAGTACCAAGACCTGCTGAATGTAAAGATGGCTCTTGATATTGAGATTGCCACTTATAGGAAACTGCTGGAGGGAGAAGAGAGCAGGTACTAGATTCATCCGGTGGACCCTCAGCAGGCATATCTGAAAAGTTTTAGCCACCTTATCTAAATATGACTTCTGTCTTCTTTTTTCAGAATCACAATGCCAATTCCGACTTTTGCTTCCCTGAACCTGAGAGGTAAGCAAGTACCATCTATACCTGGTAGCTGGACCTCCTTGGTGTATTAACCATTTTTATGTAAATAGTACTAATATTGAGTTTAAGTCTGCAATAGAAGGTCTCAGTTTTGGCATATGATGTATGTAAAGGGTCTGGACTTCCCTTGATGCACTCTTGAGTCCTTGTTGCAATGCCCACTTTGTATCAGATGTGTCATCTGGGACTAGAATTGTTGAAGTGTCCTTCTCTGGGTCTAGGTGGTGGGTGGTCCTGCCTTTTGCCAGTGGGTGGGTGTGGATGGTCCTGACTTAGGGTTGACTTTGCCGTTTGCTTTTTCAAACATTGTTTTGTTGCTAACCTAAACAGAACTTTCAAAAGGCCTGATATCTCATTGGTTTTGCATAGCAATATTACCCAAGCACTGCTCTAAGATCAGCATTGCTGTGGTATCTTTCTAACATGAGTGAGAATTCTCTACAGAGTTCTAACTGTGCTATTCTTATCTACAGAAACAAACCTTGAGTCTATCCCAATAGACACCCACTCCAAGAGAACACTTCTTATCAAGACTGTTGAAACTAGAGATGGACAAGTGAGTGCTGCTAACAATTACAGATGTGGGGTTGTATATATACATACATACATATTTACATTTATGCTGTTAAATGTATCTTCCAGGGGTGTGGAACATACTACTTTAGCATACTGGAATATATTATGGCGGTAACCTTGCCTCTCTTCTGGACTGGCTGTGCGCGTGCACACACAAAGACCGTTGAAATAGTCAACCTTTTGTGCCCAGGATGCTTAATGAAAGTCGAGTGTCTACCTCTGAATTTGCGAAGGATCTAGATCCTGCGTTTGCTGTTGTTTCATTGGAACGGTGGGAGGGATAGATACTGGTGACAGGGTATGAAAACTTGGATGAACGGGATTTAATTCTACAAGGATTCCGGGTGAAGCCTAGAATTCCACCCAAAAGTCATCAACAAGCCTATCTAGCCCTGGTTTCTGAGCCCTTAAGTCAGGCTGCTGTCTCTGTTCAAAACCTCCACAATGTGAATAATTTTTCCATTGAATGCTGTGCTTCAAATGCTGTGTGGTGTAGCAATTCCAAGGACTGCTCTGCATTTGTTGGATGTCTTGGGCAGGTTTAAGCATGTGGTAACAGAAGGCCAGCTGTCTCTAAATTGCTGAGTTGCCTTGCTTTAAACTCCCCCCTCCACACCCCCCCCTTGGCTCCCAAGTAGATATCTTGAGCAGGTGGTGGGAAGCTGGAAAGACTTTCTGGTGTCCCTCCATATGCTTTGAGGTATCAGAGGGGAGGGCAAGGGGAGCTGGGCACAGTGTTGCACCAGCCTGTTGAGTTGCACCTTCCTTTTTGCTGCCTATACAATCTGTGGACCATGTGGCGAGCCAGATAGTAGTGTTTGTGCAAGATTTCTAGTCACTAGCTTCAAGTGGAAAATATTTCAAGTGGCAGTTAAGCTTCCCTGTGAAAGGTTTAGGAGCTGAGATCAATTGACAATTAAATATCCTTCTAATGCTTTACAATACTTGTCTTAATAGGTTATCAATGAAACTTCTCACCATGATGAACTGGAGTGAAGAAGAGAACAGCACATCTTCCTTGTGCCGAAATGAACCCTTACCAGCAAAACTAAAAAAAGAGAAACAGCTTTTCAAGTGCCTTTCTGCAGTTTTTTCCAAGAGCGCAAGGTGGTTATGCTAGAAGATATAGGTCTTAGATCATGCAAAACTGACTCTCTTGATGGGTTAGAAGAGCTTTAAAAAAAGGGAGTCTAGTTCAGATAGCACTATCTTGTGCTGCAATACTGTTGTTTTTTTAAGTTTCTGAATTGAATAAAACTGCTTTTTCAGCACAGTATGATGAGCAACCTCTCACTGCTTCAATAAACATTTGGGAAATTGCTTTCTCATGTCTTCTTAATTTGCAGCAAGTTTTTAGCAACAATCATAGATCTACTTTCATTGTAGCAGCAAGAAATGCTTCCAAGATTTTTTTTTTAATGGAAAACACACACGCACACATCTACACCTGCTCTTTGAAACTTGATGTCTGTCAAGATTAGCTCTTACACAGTAATTATACACTATTGAGGGGATAAATATATTTTCCTTGGGGTATAAGCACATGACTATTCCTTTTCCAGCACCCTCATTGTGATATTTGTTTTAATATAGGAAAAAGGTGTCTCTCCTAGGAAGCTTCTTCATACCACATCAGACCACTGGTCAATTTAGGCTAGTATTGATGGGCAACTTGTGATATTGCTGATGTTTTTCAACTCTCATCAGCCCTGGAAACATTTAGAAAGTGGCAGGCTCCCCACCCCTTACTCTACACAGACTGGCAGTGGCTCTCTAGCATTTGAGACAGCTTGTCTGTCTTAGCACTATAAGGAGAGACATAGGATTGAAACAACCTCTGCAGCCTTTTGCATGCAAGCCATCTGCTCTGCAAGTGGACTATGCTCCCCCGCTAGTTGCCCCTAGTGACCAAGACACACACTCCCTTCAGATCAGCTTTTATACTGGGCTGAACTAATAGTAAGGTATTCCTTCCCCAAAGCTGTGAAGTTCTTTTTTTGCACTCACCTGAAGTCATTAAAAAAACCAGACCCTATTGTGCTTCCCATAAGTTGATCTGAGCATCTTCTCTTGCCCCCAACCCTACCTGGCAGCAGTGACTTTGGAGATGCCTAATAAAGGTAGCTACAAGACTTTTGCACTCCTTGCGTTAGAAATGCAACAGCAGTGGTCCAAGAAACATTTATTATCTATCAGATTTTGGGTGTCCTGCAAGCTACTTTTTCCCACAGGTGTCTAAAATGCTGCCATGGCATTCCAGAGCCTGTGAAGGCAAATAGGTCTTGCCGTTGCCACTGTTTCTGGTGAATTTTTGGGGAAGGGAAGAGGCACTGATGCTACTAGGGTCAATTTGGTTATAAGCCAGTGCTTGGGACGGAAGTTTATGGCCTCACCAATTTTGACATCACTAGCTGCAATAGTAACCTGCATGGAATGTGCCTGATGGTACAAACCATCTGTTGAATGGTTCCACAATGTGGGTATGAGATGCATATTACTCTCTAGTCTTTTTAAAAAATAGACTGCTTTTGTTGCTGTTCAGGTGCACTCATTTAGCCCTCAATGGTACAGGGTGAAAACCAGTAAGGCTCTTTATCTCCTTGCAGCTCCCTGACCTGCCTTCCCATGTCTAGTAAACAGCACAATTTGACTCAGGAATATGAGAGTGCCACAAATCACCCCCATTTGTCTCATTGATTGGAGTAAACACAGAGCACATATTTATGTACATATATGTAGTGCCAGGCTTCCTATAGATCTTGTTATGTGCAGTTTCAAATTGATCAAACTTGCAGGCAACCATTCATACCACTTTTGCTGTCTTTATGTACTAATTTAACAGGGACATGTGAATGGGTTTATTTTAGGAGCAGCTCGAGGTGATGCGTATGGCTCTCCCTGCCTCATTTTCTCCTCACAACTGCTTTGAAGTTTTTTCCTACCATCAAGAGGTATATAAACTTCATGAATTAAAAAATATCAACAACCCTGTGAGATAGGACTGGTCCAAGGCCATACATGGAGCTTCATGGCTGAGTGGGGGTTTGAACCCTGGTCTCCCAGCTCATAGTCCCAACACTCCTGCCATTATACCACATTGACCTCTGTGTGTGTGTCTTGTGTGCCAGTATTCATGGCTGGTTTAGCTTCCATTCATTTGCTCTTGCAGCTGAGCGCTTGTTTTGCTCACATCTGCTTTGTCTGCATAGCACAAATTATTTCCCTGGTGGGCTTGTGGTGCCAGCATGACTGGCAGAGAACAAGGCTTAGGCCCTTGTTCCCTCCCAGCAGACTTTGGCCCTGTAGGGACCACACAGCCAATTGCTAGTTCGTCTCACGCAAGTCAAGCCTCGGGTAGTGTTAGCAGAGTAAATTAATATAATCATTTGTTGGGTGATCATGTGGCTTACCCCAGCCTTTGAGAGCATGGGTGAGCAGGCCTTTAAAAATTATAAATACCCCTCTCTCTGTTTATTATGGAGCGAAAGCTTTTAATGATAGTTTGAGAACAGGTGGGCAGTTGATGGAATGCCTTTCCAGATTTTTTTTTCTTTAAGAACTGTGATTTAGAACAGTGTGAGAACAAAAGGTTGTTGGGTCTTGCTGCTTAGTTATTATAACCATTACTTACTATAGGCATTTAGCATTATAAATCCATTTTATTTTTACTATGCCCTTAAAAGATTCCAGGTGTGCTTACAATGAAAATGAAGCTGCACTGAAATTATGTCTATATCCCTATTTTTCTTAGTGACAGCCATTCATTTTAAACAAACAAGCTAGACCGGATTGAATGTAGCAGGGAGAACACACTCCCATCTTCTTTTTCTATTTTCCCATTGTTGAAAATATCCCACCTAAGTGACTATATAAAAGATACCAGCCTCCAATTACGTTTTACTAAGCATCTCTTATTGGGCAACCTTTTCTTATCTTCAAAGCCATTATTTCTGATTGAGCAGCATTAACATTAATGCCACACATTAATATTTCATTTGTATAAATTGATATGATATGAAAGGGGTAGGCGAGGAAAATATGGCATTTGAAGACCAATGCTCATATGGTGTCCACATGGAAATTATATTAACATTTAGGATGGTATTTATTCACTCCCTGTGAGCATGGCCTCTTGTTTCAAGCCTGGCTTTCAGAATTCCTAGTGCTGACTGTATTTTATCAGCCCTCTCAAATAGTCATCCTGTCTTTAGACACATACTAAATATATATCCATCCTGCCAGCCCACCCTCAACGCTTGTGCTTCACTGAACTCTTGGGTCATTGATTGACAGGGTTGAAGGGGAATTCAACCCTCCAAAGGGCATTTTTTGGCCTTTCCCTCCATGATTCACATCATGGCCCTGGCTCAGGAGAATCCTAGGCTAGCTCCAGTGACTTTCTAACCAAGTGGCAATAGCATTTTGGCAGCAAGAACGGATTGCAACGGAGTCAAAATCCTTGCACTAATACAACTGCAAACCCATTGTTGCATAAAGCCCAATAAAGTTGTGGCCTGTTTCATCCTGCAAAGGTGTGTTGGTTGTGCTCCTTCCTGCCGCCCTCCTGGGCTGCCACGTGCGACTGCCGCACAAACAACAGGATAGATGTGAACTGTGGCGGATGTCATGTGCACACCACTTCCCAAAGCAGTGGTTGGAGAGCAAACAGGAGTGTCTGCGAAGCCAAATCACACGCAAACACATCGCTGGAGAAAAGAAATGTGAAACAAAGCTGAGAAATGGATGTGAATGATCTCGCAAGCACCTACTGGCACTCTGCATTGTCAAATGACCAGCACCTGGGTAGAAGGTACACCAGCAGGGACCCCTCAAGAAAGCAGAGGATAAACAGGTTTTAAGTCCATCCGAAGAAAAAACTAGATGTGATTCTAGATCTATCGTTTTCAAGAGCAAGAAGAGAGCTACCCAGCAAATCCTGTTCCGAGCCTCCTCTTAGTTTTGTAGCCCACTTCAGAAATGCCTACTTCACAGGCATTCCCAACTTGGTGCCCTCCAGGTGTTTTGGCAATGCCCATCAGCATGGCCAATGGCCAGGGATGACAGTAGCTGTAATCCAAACATGTCTGCAGGCCACCAGGTTGGGGCAGCTGATTTAGGTTATTATTTAAGTACCAGGTGGAAACTCTTTTATTTCTCTGGGCTTCTCTTTATTATTTGTTGATGCGTCATTGCTTTTGCCTCACTTTGCTCTTGGATTGTTTAACCATTATTATACATTGGACAGTTAGCTTTACTGACTCTTTTTAAAGGGGGGGGGAGTTGTTTGAATTTTTGCCTTGCAGGCAGCCTTGAGCTCGCATTGTGGGAAAGAGCATGAAAAGTTTTAAATAAGTGTAAATAAGCACAAAGGCCACTAGGTGGCTGATGATTCAAGGCCGCTGAGGAGAGGCATCAGCCAGACAAAGCTATTGAAGGAAGAGAAATTAGATTCCACTCCGTTTTTCATCCTAGTTCTAGCCTGACTTCCACAGCCTACAGATGCAAGGACAATCAGAAAATAGAAATTGCCAGCAATCCTACAAGAAACTACAAGAAAGAAGATTCCACCTAAACATTAGGAAGAACTTCCTGACAGTAAGAGCTGTTCGACAGTGGAATTTGCTGCCAAAGAGTGTGGTGGAGTCTCCTTCTTTGGAGGTCTTTAAGCAGAGGCTTGACAACCATATGTCAGGAGTGCTCTGATGGTGTTTCCTGCTTGGCAGGGGGTTGGACTCGATGGCCCTGGTGGTCTATTCCAACTCTATGATTCTATGATTCTATGATCCTGACAGTGACTCTATATTAGTCCTGCCATGTTTTTAACTCATCTTCTTGTATGTTTTTCATTTTCTTTCTCTGGAGGAAGGGAGATGTGGTGATTGCAATCAAAAGAGCCACGAGGTGGCACTGTGCAAAGAAGTTTGGCTTGAACTTGGAGGAAGAAACACTGAATTGTTACTCCATGTAGGGTCTCGACTTTCTCTTAATTCTGCAGCATATCCCCCACTCAGGCTAGGGTGTGTGGGGGTGCTATTATGCACAGGAGAAAGAATGAGGTTCAACTAGTGCCTGCATGTGCTGTGTTTTTGCCTGTGTCAATACGTGCAGCTGAAATGCAAACATGTCATTGATGCAATACTGGACCACCAGCCCATATTTCCACTTTATTAGTTGTTCTGAGATGCTTCTCCAGTTTTACTGCATTATTGCCATCCAGAGGGGCACTCTTGCACAACAAAAAGCTCCCTTGTTAATAATTTTTTCACTCTCTGTGAGCTGCGTGCTACAACTTCCCAGCATTGAGCATGCAGCTTCTTTCATTTGTGCCCATCAGGAGCACCTCCCAAACACTGTCGAGTCAAAGGCTATAGCTGGGGAAGGCAGCCTGCAACATCAGGCCAATTTTATGCTGGCATCAAGGAGGAAATATAGCAGGGGCAAATGGGGATGTGTGTTGTGGGGTGGGAGAAAGGAGAAGCAGAGAGAGAAAAAGGACTGGCAGTGAGAGGGGGGTTACCCTATTCCACCTTTGGCTCTGACCCTGTTCCTGCCCCCTGCACCCCCCAGGGGAATGCAGCCCGCAGCAGCAAAAAAAAGCTGCCCGTCTACCCTCAAGGTAGGAAAGTGCAAATATGAAGGGGGTGGCGGCAAGTGGTTGGCACGGCAGACTTATTGCCTTTTTCTTGCCATAAGACACTTTGTGTTCTCCTGGTTGATAGGAAAGCCCTCTCTGAATTAGAGACAGTGTGGTGTAGAAATTAGTACAGGTGTGTTTATTGGTTGTGGGTGTACCCCAAATAGTGAGGCGATGAAACCAAGATGATTGGGAAAATGCTCAAAGCTTGAGAGTGAGGGGGAAGGGGAACTTTTGATTGGCAGGTCTAGTTTTTAATCATGTGAATTATGTCCCCAGTGCACTCCAGTCACAGTGATTTGGGGAGGATGTGAGGAAGTAAACACATGGGTCCATTGTGTCATGAGACAATGGTTCTTGAGAGTAGAAGCAGGCAAGGCCTAGGCAGTGGCCTACACAAATCTTTCAAGCCTAGCTGTTAGCAGTAAAATGCTGTGTCACTGTGACTCGTGACTCATCTTGGGTTCCCTATAAATGTAACCAGCCTTCAGAGTCTCTGCTCCGTTTGTCGTGTAGTGTGTGTATGTGTCTCAGCCAGTATGTTGTGTTGTTGCAGACAGAGTGACTTCAGGACTCCAGTTAATCAGTAACCAAGATCTGTGCCTCTGTGAAGAGTCAGCTAGCTATTATGAGCACTCTGTGTATGCTCTTTGACTATGCTGTTTATGACCAAGTTTATTTTCTTCAGTAAAATTTTATTCTGCTTCTGAAGAAGACTCAGATTCTGCTTTGATTAATTTACAGCTGCGTGACACATTGTTCTCCTGTTGGGCCAGTCTCTCTCAGTCCTACCCTGTATTGCAGGATTGTCATGGAAGGGCATGCATATAGCCCCAAACTCCTTGGTGGGAAGGGGAGAGTAACAAAAAATACACATCAGAGGATATAGTGTCTGGAGCATGCGCTCACCTTTTTGAGAGCTTTCTGCACAGCAAATCTGGGGGGAAGGGAGTTATTCCCTTACCTCCTGTCCCACAAACCAACTTTCTCATTATTATTTTTCATCTTTCCGATGTGGCTGTTCCAAGCAATTGCTCCCATGCAATCCTAGCTTAACCAGCAGCAGAGAAACTAACATTTGCACTTCAGAATATTCGGCAATTATTTCATATCAACACGGCTAATAGCAAATTCCGTGGGGGTTTCTTAGATTTGCAAATGAGTGTATGAGGCCGTCAGTCAAATTGCACCTCATCAAATAAACATTTCCAGTAATTGAAATGATATGAAATGGCTTCTTTTGATGGGGGAAAATGCAAATATAATTTAGCAAAGCTACGAATCCACAGCCTCCCACTTCTGTGGATTTTCCATGGACGGAACTGTACATTTCTATGTACAGACAAGCTAGTGGAATATTTCTCTCATCTGCAGCGTGCCTTTCCACAGGGAGGAAATGACTGTCCATGCATTTGCGCTCATACAGGAGGCAGTGAGGACCATCAAACTGGCTGGATTTAAAAAGGGATCAGACAAGTTCACGATGGGGGTTATGCTCTGCCTCAACGGACCAGGAAGGCAGTATGCTTCTGAATACTGGATGCTGGGAACCATAGAATGGGGCGGTATGGCTATATGTTGGTTGCTTGTTGACAACTGGGGGTGGGGGTTAAATAAGAATATTGCCTTCATGTACTGCTTATAAGTGGCCTAGAAACGTCTGCCTGGTCCCTGTTAGAAACCTTCTTATAGGAACCTTCTTATAAAGCTTTGGTTTTCAGCTGGTGGTTTGGGACACATTATCTGGGGGGGGGGGGGGTAGCTTGATCTAAGAAGCTTCCAGGTTGGATCAGTGCAAGGCCCTCTATAACAGGCCGTCCCTGAAGATGACTTGGAAACTTCTGTTGGTTCAAAAGTTAGCAGCAGATCCCTGACCGGGGTTTCCTTTAGCTCTCACATAACACCTGTTTTAGTACAGCTGCCCTGGTTGTCATTTGAGATGTATATTCTAGGACCCACGTATTTCTGCGGTTGTAATTTGTTTTAGGCTGTTTTTAGCACTGTGTTCAATGTTGCAACCCATCCTGAGACCTTAGGGTGAAGGGTTGGTAAATAATAATAATAATAATAATAATAATAATAACAATAATAACAATAATAATAATGGTTGCAAAAGCAGCACTACCACCATACAGATATATGGCAAAAAAGAGGGAGGGATGTTTGGTTAAAAGTGGTCCCTGAGTCTGAAAAGGCTGGAGACTCCTGCTACACAAACGACTCCATAAATTAACAGCCTCTTTCGTGGGCAGATTGCAATCAAGATCAGCACAACAACAAAGCTTTATTATTTATTAGCTTGGATTTGATTTGTGCTGCAGTGTGTATGTGCATGTTTGTGGTTGAATGGGGGTCAAAAAAACCAAAGTCAAATGTCCTGGAAGTTCCCTGGATTATGCTTCACCCCCCCCCCCCAGGTTTTCTTATTTTGATTTTTACAAAAAAGACAGACTGCTACTGAACAGAGCAAACATTTTAAAGGAATCAAAGCAGATGCTCCTCTCATTCTCTCTTCCCCCCCCCCCCATTATTTCTAGGACCGAGAGCATTAATTAATTAAGCAATGCAAATGAGAATTTCTCAGCAAATTTTAATCAGAGCTGTCACCTGCAAAAACAGTCCTAGGTGCTAATGGCATGGTAAACAATTTATTTCCCTCACTTGATTCAGGATGTGCTTAGCAGAATTTTGTCAAGGACTGTTAATATTCCCTCCTGCTGTTCCAACAGGGGAAACAATTTAATATTTTTCAGTGAGACAGTGGCCTAGTTTGCACAACTCAGTCCTCATACAAGCAAGAAAAGAAGCTTGGAAGTCGCAGTGAAGAGTTAACCTGTGAGCCAGGAATTAGAGTTCATGGCTTCCAAGCAAGATCTGCAAATCAACTTTAAATTATGGTTTCGTATTCTGGCTTGTTTACGTCACAAGCTACCATTCTTGGTTTGCCCAGGATGGGACGGCACGTTTGGTGTTCCCCATAAGAGCACAATATCTTAATAGAGTTCACTGCCCCCTCTTTGATATCACTGGATGGAAAGAAAAGATCGTTTCAGTTCACATCTGAAGGTGAACTTACCTAATTCACACTGTGCACAAACTTCATCCAGCTAGTCCTTCCTGCTTCTGTCTTCCTTCCTCAACATTCTCCTCTGCCTATAAAGCAGAATTGGCCCCATCCACACGTTTCCACTGGGCTTAAACCCAGGCAGCAGGGGTGGGTGAGGAGCCAAACTGCCTCACTGTCTGGCCGAGACTCATTGCACTGCTATTAACTGCAAGTTCCTGGCTTGTTTCCCTGCTTATGCAGTGGGAAAAGTAAAGGCGGCAGCAAAAGGGCTGTGTGAGGCTGGATGAAGTTTCAATCATGCAAACTTGGCCAATGAAAAAAATTATTTAAGCTTATTTGTTCTTCAGTTAATCAAAGAGAAAAGCAGGAGGATTGACTAGTGGCCTGATTTACACATCCAAACAAATGACTACAAAGCAATCTCATGCATGTCTACTCGGAAACCGATCCTGATGAGTCCAAAGGGGCTTACTTGTAGGTAAGCATGCATAGGATTGCAGCCTTAGGGAACACTGATTAAGAGGAGGTCCATAGCTCAGTAGCATTTGCTTCATATGCAGACGGTTCCAGGTTCAAGTCCTGGCATTTCCAAGTAGGGCAGCAAGAGACCCTTGTCTGATATCTTGGGGAGTTGCAGCCTGTCAGTGAAGGAAATATGGCCCCAGATGTGCCAATGGTCTGAGTCAGTGTAAAGCAGCTTCCTGTCTTCTTGAATGTCCAATGTCCACAATCTTGCCTGTGTTTCCCTACATGATGTGCCATTGTCAAAGGCCTACAATGCTCATCGTTGGTTTTGCTACTGGTTGCATGGTTATATGATGACTAAGTTGAAGAGAGGAAGTGCCACAAATGTTCAGAATCAGGGTGTATAAACCTTTCAATGGGCTGATGCTTCCAAACAGGTTTTCAAGAAACCCAGTGGCAGAGCCCACCCAACCATTAGCCTCACTGAGGCGGCAGGCTGGGGCAGCTGGAAGGGATGGCAGCTCTGGAAAGAGGAATTCCACTTCTCCTTTGGCTGTGAATAGGAATGGCTGCCATTGCCACCAACCTAGTAACAGTCCCTCCGCTGCTGCCTGCTCCTGCCCAACCTATTCCCCGCTGCCTTCAGCATGCCAGGGCTTCCCTGGGCCACCTCCAGTTGCCCCAGGCAGTGGAAGAGGAGAAAGCAGGGTATGCAGGGTATGTGTGTGTTGTGTGTGTCCCATTGTCTTGGGCTGGCCCTGCCCAGTGATTCCATCAATGTCCATGATTTGGGTTTCATTGCAATAAATGGAAGCTGTGCAAGAGCACCATAGCTAGAGCAGAAGAAATCCTAGGTGAGGTATGTTTTCCCCGTGCAATCCTATGCACATTTACTTGGAAGTAAGCCCATTTTAAAGGGACGTGGGTTAAACCACACAGCCTAGGACTTGCCGATCAGAAGGTCGGGGTTTGAATCCCTGCGACGGGGTGAGCTCCCGTTGCTCGGTCCCTGCTCCTGCCAACCTAGCAGTTCGAAAGCACATCAAACTGCAAGTAGATAAATAGGTACCGCTCCGGTGGGAAGGTAAACGGCGTTTCTGTGCGCTGCTCTGGTTCGCCAGAAGCGGCTTAGTCATGCTGGCCACATGACCCGGAAGCTGTACGCTGGCTCTCTCGGCCAATAAAGCGAGATGAGCGCCACAACCCCAGAGTTGGCCACAACTGGACCTAATGGTCAGGGGTCCCTTTACCTTTTTAAGTCCATTTTGAAGCTTACTGTCTAGTAAGTGTGTTTAGGACTGAAGTCTTACTGATCTGGCTGAAGGCATGTGTATAATCTAGTGGAAGACATGGCTATAACAAGGCGTTGTTGTTGTTTTTAATTTCCAAATAAAATTGCAAAAATATTCCAGTTCACATCTAGTTAGTGCAACATCCAATGAGAGCAACATCCACTGTATACACCATGACATGAAAGCAAACAGTCTTTGGCACTGAGGCACTTCATCAATACAGAGCATCGACGACATCATCTGGCTGACAATAAAACTTTACCTCAAAGTACAATAAAATTAAAAACAGAAGTATGACACAGCACTCCTCTCAATACATCACACAGAAAGAGAAGTTATCCATACGTTAATACAGTCAGACGCTTAGCAACAGTTTCAAACAGACCATAATATCACATTTAGATTTTAAAGCATCAAATGCCTCCTGGCAACACTGGACCTTTCGATGGGGGAGATTTCCTAGAGCAGAAGACTATCCATGGCTACCAGCCATGATGGCTATGTTCTACCTCTGCTGGGACTCCTAAGTTTGAAGAGTGCTGTTGTGCTTGGGCCCTGCTGCTGTGCTTGGGCTTCCCATTGGCAGCTGGCTGGCCACTGTGAGAACAGGATGCTGGACTAGATGGGCCATTGGCCTGATCCAGCAGGCTCTTCTTATGTTCATACAGTATCATGAAAAAGGGAGGTCCCAATACAGTGAGAGTTGTAGGAGACAAGAAGCCACAAGTAGTTACTACAATTTTCAAGTATAAATATCCCGAAATGCAACGTTCGTCAATCTTGGCCAGCCTACAGCTCTCTGGCTGTTTTAGACTTCAATCCCCATTCACTTTGGCATGTGATTGAATCTTTAGTACAAAATAGCCAGAGGGCACCAGGTTGGTGAAGCCTGATAGTATCACATGCCGAAAGGAAAGGCTATCCAAATATTTACTGAGATACGTAGAATGGTCTTTTAAAGACAACCTTTCAACTATAACTGAAAGACGCCTGTTGTTGTCATCACAGGGTGAGAAAAGTCTGTATAAGGATTCCCTGTAAGGACCTTGTTCAGCAGTTGACCCTCTGTGGGATTCACAGCTCAATAGTTCAGTCGGAAGAGCATGAGACTCCTAATCTCGGGGTTGCAAGTTTGAGCCCTGTGTTGAGTAAAGTATTCCTGCATGGCAGGGGGTTGGATAAGATGACCTTTATCATCCCTTCCAACTCTGCAATTCTATGATTCTGTGTCTGTGGGAGATAAACACCCTGTGTCAGATGCGGACGACACATCTTGTCCCAACAACCCATTCTTTTCAGGCACCCTTCTGGGGGCCATATGCCAGTGTTGGTGGTGCCTGGGTACTCTGCCAGGTGGGCAGAGCAGCTCTTGTAAATTTTATCCTTGGACAGTAAGCTAGTTTTTTTCTACATTTCATTTGCCTGGACAATCTCATGGTTCAAGAAGATATCCCAGTCAGGCAAGGACACTCAAGGAAGATGAAGAGGGCCAGGGGGGGGGGGGCTGCAGAGAATCCACAGGGCCAGAGAGAGAGGCTTGGGAGGCAGCATTCGGCCCCTGACATGGTGGATTGCAGGTATTAGGTATACACTGCCTGTTCCATTTCAAAGCTTAGGAGCTTTTATATTAGGAGTGCAAAACTTGTGTCCCAGCAATCTGAGGACAGCCTGTGACACCAACCTTTGTCTTACGGCCTGCCAGATGTCTGACACCAGCCAAACATTTACGGTCTCAGAGGAAAAAGTTGGGTTTATCAAGCCCCCAGTGGACTTCTATTCACAGCTAGGTTAGACTGCTTTCTGCTTGTTTTGCTGAAATTAAGCCCAACATAGAACTAGTCTCCATTTCTGAAATTGCTATGTCCATGTCCATGTGAAAAAGAACCCTCCCTCGTTTTCCTCACCTAGGGAAGACTCAATCCACAGAGTTATTTCAGAAGCCATGCTCCTTATTAGATGACAGAGCTCTACAAATGACCTGGAAATGTTACTCTAGGGGCATATGATGGTTTTCTATTAGGTAACATTATGTACCTTATTCCTTCTTGACTCAAATTGATAGAAGAAAATTTAATCAGGGCTTTTAAATAATTTAATTCTAATAGGTAGTCTGATGAAATGAGCATTAAGAATTTAAACGTAGAAGCCCAGTGTCAAGCTCTTCTGTAAAACATGCATCAATTAGATACAGATGTAGCTTTTGAAAAATATACCTTGATTCACAGGTGCACAAGATGGAGCCTGGAACCACAGCAACCTTTCGTGACAGAAAACTGGTAAGTCAGAAATTGTCATGAGCTGATGGGGTCTGTGGATAGCTGCCCCATGTGGCGAGAACATGAAGTTCAGGTGACAGTTTCTCCGTGAAACACAAACAAGCCTGAACTAACTCCATTCACTTAAACTAGTTAGAAAGGAACATGAGACAGTGTCCTATTCCAGTTAGCCCTTTTGAGCAACAAGGTCTTCCTGAGCTCCTGGCTCACCTCAGAGTCCTGCCCACAGCCCCATCCTAACACATAGACCAACTTTTAACAATCTAATTTTGTTTTACCTTCTAACTTGCCTCCCTCTGTTATGTCCATAGCTGTCAACCTTCCCTTTTTTTGTGGGAAATTCCCTTATTCCAGCGCCGTTTCCCGCTGCTATCCCAGATTGTTAGATATCCCGTAGACTGTCCCCAGGACAGGTGAGACTGCTGATCCCTTATTTTCAAGGCTGCTGATCCCTTATTTTCAAATCTGAAAGTTGACAGCTATGATTATGTCATCTGTGCAGTCCATAATTTCCTCTCAATAGGACTAACTTCCAGAACTTAAGTCCAGTTGGAGGCAGCATCACCTTGGAGGTCAAACTGCAAGGAGGTAAGCCATAGGCGGGGGGAGAATTTTGTGCTCCTCACAAAGGCAAGGGGAATATTTCACGCTCCTCACCCGCAAGTCCCATTTGCTCTTAAAACTGGAACACTACACTGTATGCCTGGAGAATGCCTGGCTTTCAACAGACAGATCTGCTGTCCACACACCTCTTCAGCTCAACTACGAAGTGGGTGTGGGTGTCTCTTTAAACGAAAAAGGGGGAAAGGGCAGGCGGAAATAAAATTGCTTGTATTTCCTTGTTGCACTTTGTTGTTTTGGACAGCCCGCCCAACTCCAGCTCTGATGCCACAAGTGAGAATAAAGGATAAATTAGCTGGCCTGTCACATCTTGTTCAGATGCTCGAGCAGGTATTCAAGCCCTTTCTCCGTGTTTAAAGAAATCATTATGACAAAATGTAAGAGCTGCATCACAGTATTTTGGATACAACAATGAGGAGGTAAAACTGTTTGTGGGCTGCGGAGCTTCAGACTGCCAGCTGAAGATGTAACCACGTGTAATTGTTTGCAGATCAGCAAAATGGTGCAGTCATATTATAGCTGCAAGATACGAAGACAGACCGCGTCTTAGATGGCATAAACAAAAACAATAAATAGTTTTACAAATGTAACTGCCAGCTATCATCCTGAGATTTGGCTTTGTTCTCTCTCGTGGATATTCTGGGTTTTGTAAAAATTTTGTTTCCATGTAAGAAAAAGGGCAGGTTACAATAAGCTAAAGTCACACACGCCACTATGGTAGGAGAAAAAGGAAAAGACTGCCATCTTGAAGTGCAAAATACTTCTGAATTATAATAGCACAATTTAATGCTCACAAGTTGACATTTGATCAAATCCAACATCAAACCGCAGCGGTGCATACAAATTCTCTTCTTAGCAATCATCACTCTGGAATTGAGACAAGAAAATACGCCAGCACTATTATTAATTTGTGAGCAAACCGTACCACATGTGCATCACAAGCTACAGTTGGCATTTATCTGCCTCTGGGTTAAAAAGGGTGAGGGGTTAAAGAGAAGTCCAAATGAATAAATCAGCTTGCATCACTTCACTGATGAATGAGCAGTCAGACAAGTCACTTCAGTTTTGTCTCAATTTAAAATCCCATATTGCTTCTCTGGCATTTGGTGATTAATCAAACATAATGTAATTTTGGCCACTCTCACTTTTTCTTTTAAAGCAAGAAATGGCCACCTTATAGGGCTGCCCTGCGTTACATGGCAGGCTCAATCATTGCAAGAACATCCAGGCCAGGCTGGAATTTTCTGCCTAAAACATTTGAAGTGGGGAAACTTCAGCCCTCCTGATGTTGCTGGATTGCAACTCCCATCGTACATGACCATTGGTCATGCTGGCTGGGGCTGATGGGAATTGTAGTCCAACAACATCTGGAAGGACACAGGTTCCCCATCCCCGATGCGAGGCATGGGACTCCCCTGGCTTAATGAAATGCAGGACATTCCCACAAAGAAACCTACCTTGGCCTAGTCAGTTAGACATTTGCCAAACTGCAGCTTGAGGATACCCCTTCCATGGAGCTGGAGAATCTGACTGTACTCTTTGGGCATTGCATGGAAGCCAGGCTTGGGTAGCTGGTTGTCGTAGTAGTGGTGGCTGATAGGCGCGCCCTCAATGCTTTTTGAGAAAGGCCAGAAGCCATAGAGCTTCACGTTCTCGCACAGTTCCACAGCCGCACTGGTGATCATAAAGCCTGAAGACAACCGATAGGCTTTGACGCCCTTAGTCCTCCAGAATTGGGCAAGATTTCTGAGATATCTGGGATAGAAAAATATGGCCTCCTGCTTTGCACTGAACTCTTTCAGAGTTTGGTGCACTTTGAAAGAAGCTGCTGTATTGCTCCTGAAGGAAAAGGCAGGGAGCAAAAGGAAAGCTTCACCATAGCTTGCAATGTTCTCAAGGAAGGTGAGTTTCTTTTCATTCAGTTTGTTATATCTGCAGAGACGAAAAGACATGTGAAAAATTTTCATCAGTACAGATACTCTGGGTGTGATTCAGTGGGGTCCATTATTGTATGGTGGTACCTCAGGTTACATACGCTTCAGGTTACAGACTCTGCTAACCCAGAAATAGTGCTTCAGGTTAAGAACTTTGCTTCAGGATGAGAACACAAATCGTGCTCCAGCGGCACGGCGGCAGCAGGAGGCCCCATTAGCTAAAGTGGTGCTTCAGGTCAAGAACAGTTTCAGGTTAAGAATGGACCTCTGGAACAAATTTAAGTACTTAACCCGAGGTACCACTGTATTTTATAAACCGCTCACCACTGGAAACAGAATGAGAATTAAATCCCACCTATAAAAGCAACAGGAGCGATGCCCTGTTCAGTCCTGTGAGACTCTAGCTGCATTCACATGATATTTTGTTCCATTTTCCTGAAGTTTCCTTAATTTTCATATTATATTTGAGCTTTCACACGATGCAAAAGCCGCTTCCAGAAATATCATGGAATATAGCGCAATTCCATATTATTTGCAAACTGCACCCCACCCCAGGAAGCAAATAACATGGAAAAGAAGACTAAATGTTGTTCTGTAAGGAGCCAATCGCCCCATTTCTGTTTATTTGCTATTTATTATCTAATCAACACAGTTTGTATGGCAAAACTAGCTGCTGTACTAAGTTATGGTGGTGTTGTTTGTGTGCAATGCTAAGCCAAACTATAGTTTAGCAGTATATAAATTTAATAAATATGGTAATAACAAACACAACAACAAACAAGTGTGGTGGTGCACAGTAAGAAAAATGAGGCCACTTCACTTCTCTCACAGTCCTGCTCCACTACTAGGAAGTAAGCTATGGTTTGTCTTTTGTTATGGATCATGAGTGCCTGAGCCCATGGTTTCTTTCCTACAAAGTAACCACAAGCACTAAACCACAAGCTTGGAGTGAAACCACATGACTGGATTCATTTGTAACACTAAAGCAAACCTTGGCTTAGCTCCCAATGGTGTGGCAAGGGAGAAGTAGGTGTGGTTTTTTTAAAAACTGCACTAGCATGATTGCTTGTTCATGTTAAACCATACATAGTTTGGCTTAGTGTCACATGTGAGCTAGGCCAGTACTTTGAGCTACTTGGAGACTTTTTCTCTCTCTCAAGTGGTTTATATAGTTTCTATGCACACACACACATAAAAAAAACTTGGTGAATGTGAAAGATAGCAGATTCTGTAAGCAGAACCTGACTGCCATTTAGATCTGGGATGGCAGAAGTCCTCTGCAAGTGATTATTTCAGAACCTTTGCAAAAGCAATATGTCCCACCTGCTGCAGCCTGCTGGAAAAGGGGGAAAGAGACAAAGGAGAGGCTGAAACAGAGGAGAGAAAATGGGGGTGGCAGAAAAAGAGAGAGTGAAGGTTCAGACTTAAGGATGGGCAAAAACCTGAAGTTTAGTTTCTCGTTTTTCTAGTCTTAAGTCCGGTTCTTCATGTATTAACAACAGACCATTGTTTCATGTCCTCATGAAAATTCAGTGTATATTAGTGTGAATTTCTCCTAATATACATATTTTTGTACATAGTTTAAGCCAATTAACACATTTTTTTCCAATGTCATTTCCCCTAACAAAACGTTACTTTCACTAATATTTGCATTTCTATGCACACCCTCACCCTGGTAAAAATTACTTGGCTGGAGCACAGCATTGCAACATTTGGAGAAGTGTGAATTTCAAAAGACGGTAGTGTGTTGGATAATGTGAATTAGGTAGATTAGCCTTGAAATGGGAACTGAATCAAATTTTCCCCAACCCCTCGTTCTGCCCCTGCTCCACCATTAGCATGCAACCCCCCCCCCCAATGGTCACCCCTGATTTAGGTGGTGGCTATGATTTTTGTAAAACCGTCCTTGCTGCACAGCTGAGAATTTGTGGGAGCAAAATCACAAATGGCTTCTTTATTCCTTTCACCAAAGCTCCAGCTCTTTCCAAAAGCACGAAAAGCTTAAGGGCTTTCAATCTGCATTAGGCTGCCAGTTAACAGGGAGCTTGGGACCACTAACGAAGCAATTGCAATTCAGTGGCTGTAGTGGTGACATGCCGATGTGTTTCTCTAATGGAGAATCAAGCAATTAAACACGAGTCACACAAAAAACATTGCAGTCATACTCACTTTTGTGCTATGATGCTCGGGTTGACTGTCACAAGGTTTGTCTTGTTGCCAACATCTTGACTGATGCTTCCCATTGTTGGGGGAAGGTTACACCTGAAGTTTTACAAGAGCCATTTAGGAGCCACTTCAAACATCCCATTGTTATAGCATCCAGACATCTCTTCGACATGTCACTTGAGTCTGTTCCCTACAGCTGCAGTCCTAGGCACACGTAACTAGGAAGCAAGCACTATTGTCTGCAATTGGACTTTCAACATGCATCTGCTGTAAATATTGTACATGCAGGGCCAGTCCAGCCATGAGGCAAGGTAAGGAGACTGCCTCAGGTGGCAGGATCCACAGGGACAGCAGATCCTGATGTAGATATTTACACACACACAACAGTGGCAGGGAGAGACAGGGCAACAGGAGACCCCTCTTTCTGTGCATAGTGGCCATTCTCTTAACAAAAGCAAATGTAAGAGTTAAACTAGATGTGGCACTAAATGCAGATGCCACTGCCAAGTTTCTTCTTCATCATCATCATCATCAGCATTGGGACATTTTTGTCTGAAGCACAGCAAACAGGGAGGGGGTGTTGAATTTCTTCTCTCTCGCTACTATTAGCCTCAGCTCTCACAGACCCTAAGAGAACAGAAATGTCACCTAGGAACTGACCACAAATATGCTCGTGTGAGCTACTTGCATATTTCAGAGCACATTTCTGCTCTTCAAAGTGGCCAGAAATTTGTCCTTAAGTAGAAATCATGCACTTCTGATAACATGTCTGAGGCTTATGAAAACAGGCAAGAAAAACTGCAGAAATAAGGATGCCGGTGTCAGAGTGCCTATGACCCTGTGCAAGCTATTGCATGCATCACAGTTTAGAGTTTCTTACCTAAATACAAAGTCGGATTTATCAATTTCTGCTCCACAGCTGGAGTTCTTGAGGATCCCCCCATTTCCAACCACGGCACAGTTCTTGAATGGGTAATCCAGGGGCTGTGACTGAAAACAAAAACAACGGGTGCACTCTGTTCTTGCATAGCAGAAGCAAGAGTTCATAGGTCCTATGTCCACCACCACTAATTCTAATAAGCTGCTATAAAAGTTATTTATTGACTATTGGTCTGAAAATGATGACGGAGCCTTCACAACCTGGGGACGCTGGAATCAGCCAGATATGCCTAGGAACACAGGAAGATCTCTTTATACCGGATCTGGCTGCTATTCCTTCTAACCCATTATTGTCTACATTGACAGTAGCTCTCCAGGGTTCCAGGCTGGGGTCTATCCCAACCCAACATGGGGATGCCATGGATTGATCCTGGGATCTTCTGCACGCAAAGCAGATGCTCTACCACTGAACTATGGTTTCTACCTGGGCCCTGAGAACATCAGCTGAGACCCTTCTTCTTCAAGGGGCCCCGCAATCTGAGATGCAGAGGGTGGCTCCAAAGGAGATGACCTCTTCTGTGGAATGTCCTTCACAGAGAGGCTCACCTTGGTGCCTTTGTTAACATTATTTAGGCACCAATCAAAAAATGTTTTAGAGCTCCAGGTCTTTTAAGTTCTACTCAGAATAGACCCATTGAAATTAATGGACCCAAGTTAGTCATGTTAATTAATCTCAGTGAATCTACTTTGAGCAGAACTAACTTTGAATACAACACACTGATTATACTTTTTAATTTCTATCTTAACTGGAGCGTTAGGGTGGTGGCTTTCAACTGTGTGGGGATCATTTCGTGGCTCTCTGTATCCTATGACATTTGCCTTAAACTGTGTTAATTTCTGCTTTGACGTGGTTGTTTCACTTTACATCTTTTTTGTGTTGCTCTTGACTGGGCTTCTTTGGGAATTTTGGTTCTGATTGGCCCATCACCCACAGAACTCTGGCTATTAGGTTACTGATAAATGAAGAAAAAAAGAGGAATATTTAATAGAGCAAAAGTATTGAGGGACAGCACCACAGAGGTTTCCTGTAGATGCCTCACTTGATTGAGTACTCATCTTGATTTGCTTGCATGGAGGTTAAACTATGCCGACTTTATTGATTGTTTATTCTGATTTATTTGTGGAGAGCTTATATGGCACAGAGCATTCCTCCTGCTTTCATCCTGAGTTGCTCGTTGGGTACTAGTGCATCTCCCAATTAATCATTCATTCATCCATCCCACCCTTTCCAATGGATTTCCCCATCACTTTCCTAATCACAAAAAGTTGTTTTTTAAGTGATTTGCTGCACTAAGGCAACAGATTGCTTTAATCCACTTTAATTACACAAACCTACATTTCTTGATATGTGCTTGAGTCCTTCCTGCAGAATACTGGGTCTGGAGGCACCCACAGAATACCAAAGGATTGAAGGTGTGTGTGTCTTTTAGATTACATTTTTATGGCCATGAAACCATCCAAGGAGCTCTTATTACCTCAGGCAGCATTCTGAATATATCCTCTGTGATGTGAATGGTTTTCTTGTTGTCCACTTCATAACTCATGTTGCTTCCCAGCGGGGTGTTATTTTGAGAAGCGATAAAGTTGTGAGCAGCATCGCAGCACGAGGCAAGCTCTGACCTGCACAACAACAATAAATAAATAAATGATCAGCATAATAAATGTTGTGGAGGTGGCAAAGGAACACAAAACAAAACCAGCTTTATTACTCGTGGCCCTTGGCAGCACGCAGGGCATCTGATTGTAATAGAGGAGGGAAGAGGAGGGATGCAAGACCACGAAGAGCTCTGCTGAGAAGCCAGGCTCCTTGCTCCATCACCTGTCACCTGGCAGAAGCCGCCCCAGGAGACTCCAGTAAAGGAGGAAAGAAAAGGGGGTGAGGAACCACCCCATCCATACAGAAAAGAGGCACAGTTTTTTCTTTGAATTTTTCCATTCCAGATAGTCATCAGAAGAACTTGGAACAAAGAGCTTGCATCTGACTCTCCTTATTTCCTCCTTCCTTCCAAACCACTTTCCTTTTGTGTTGTATCCTTTTAGGCTCTGAGACCTTACTTTTTTCCATTTTAGCTGATCAACACTGAAAACTCAACTTCAAAGAGGCTCCCTTTAACTGATGGTCATCAGATTGTGAGGGGTCATTTACGCCTCCATTTGCCCTGTTGCTTTGGAAAACAGCAATCAGGTTTTCGATTGCTGTTCTGATTTAGGGCTAAGCAGTGGGGGGTTTTGCGGGGAGGCAGCATCAGGGCAAAGGCAAAAGCACTTGGACGGAAGTGGGTTTTGCATTCCAGGCACCAAGGAAGTGCTTTGAATACAAAACTACTTCCCTGGAAAGAAAGAAAAAAGATTCATTTTTAAACTGAACATTTGTGTCCCCCACTCCCCGAGAAAGTGCTTGAATATGTAGGAAGTGCTTTGCATCCATGCTGCTTCCGCCAGCTCTCTTGGCTGTCTGTTGTGCCAGCAATTTTATTTTTTTAAAATTTCATTCATGCTTTGACCAGCCCAGTCACTACCATGAAGAATATGGTGCAGAGCTGCCAATGTTAAGTCATGGCAGAAAAATATGAAATTGAACCCAAGAAGTTGACCATTTCAATGCAGCTCTAAGCTGAATTCCTGCTTTCCAAAGGTATTCTGGAGTCTTCGCATGCAATCCAGAGAGACGTTTAGGGCAGCACAGTTCACGTTTGGGCTTTCAAGATCTGAGCATCAACCGAAATGCCTTTGTGATGGATAACGTTCATTAGCAATGATGGTGCACACCTCTTCTTTATTGCCCCCAGCATAAAAGGGAATGCTTCAATATAATCGGAAACAGTCTAGCATAAAAGAAGATTTCAGAACTAATAAGAAAAGAATTGTTTCTAATTAATGTTATGGTTTAGCTAATGTGATAAAACACAGTCAGGCAGTGTGATATTAATGCGACGCAACGCTGTGCCACGGAGGGAATAACAGAAGAGCAGTTTGAAATTATTCATTTTTCTTTCTTGAGAGATCAATAAACACAATAAAACTTGATGACGTTCTGCAGTAGAGACATTCTCTTTTGGGGGGATCATATACAATGAGTAGAGGTCCCTTCAGTTAAATTCCCAGCAACTTAACCATCCTTGACATTGGACTTTGCATGAGTTTATTATCGTTTATAATGCTTTATGAAACAAATAAGTTGGCTTTTCTAATCATTAAAATGTCCAAAGTCAAGCAAAATAAAAGAACAGAACAGAAGAAACACTAAGGTTTAAAAGAAACACAACTCATAAAACCAGCGACGGCAAAATTTTCATTAAAATACTCAGGCAGACAATGGCACCCTTATTAAACTGAAAGGTTTTCACTGCTGGCAAACTCGCAGGTTGTGTGAGGCAGGCTGCGTCAGACCAGTTCTGATGTTTACAGAAAAAAATGGCATTATCTAATGAGCAAATACCTTTCTGTGTACCCTAGAGCTATTCCTGCTGTTTTTGTAGACTGAGACTGAGCTCATCCGTCTTATCTCTCTTTCTTGCAGCCAGATCCTATGGATCAGCTTCGCATGTTGCAGCACAAATCGGAATTTGCTCCATGGCAAATTGTAGTCCCAAAACATCTGGAGGGCCGAGTTTGCCTATGTCTGTTCCAACCTGTGTTCTGTGCATGCAGTGCTGTTTCCATTCCGCTGCAGCTCAGTTTCTGACAGAGGCAACATTATTCTACACCATTAATTTCAGTTGAAAGGATAATTCATTTCAATACAAAGGAAATGCAATGCAAATAGGGGAACGGGACACACCTACAATTACATATCATTTGCAGACTGAAAACAGCAACAGTGAATACTGAGCATATTTGTTGGATTGATTTTCATTCTGGATATAGGACAAATAAGGCAAAATGGACAATTTCAGCTTCTGTTTCCATTGGGATTCTCTGAAATCTCTAAAGCAGCAAATAAATATTTCTTTTGTTCTCCCAACACCACCATTCTGTACTTTACAACTGTTTCTACATTCCTGATACATTGGAGAGAGAAAGAAAGATCAAGCTAACCATGTTTTTTAAAAAAATAATAATATGCAGTTTTGCATTTTATTTTTTAAAAACTCGCTTAAATCACAGCACCATCATGACTACAGTTGACTTCCGATTAGCCTGATGCTTAAGCACATTTACCTGGGAATGAGCATTGTTTTGCTGTAAGCATAATTTTAAAGTAACAATAACAAAATCATCTGTAACCATGGATGTGTCTAGCTGGCCAGCCCCCCAAGTAAAGAAGAAGAAAGGGAAGAAGAGGAGACCAGCACCAGTCCCAGGGGGCTCTGGCACATCCATGCCAGCCAAAGTGATGTTGTGGGTATGTTTGCCACAGCCATCATCACCTGCTGCTTTCTGGGCAGTCTTTTGGGTCCCCTATGTTGTGGCTCAAGGTCCAGCCTTCGCTGCCTCCCTGCTTCTGGGCTGAAGCACACAACTGAAACGTGTCCAGTTTGCAGCACAGAATGTATTCTGAAATAAAGCTCAAAATACAGGCAGTGAAAAGGAAGAACACACGTAACAATGCAATATTTATCCCACTTATTTCAAGGAAAACCGCTGATTTCAGCAAAGACAACAAAGGATCTTGTGGCACCTTAAAGGTAAAGGGACCCCTGACCATTAGGTCCAGTCGTGGCTGACTCTGGGGTTGCAGCGCTCATCTCGCTTTACTGGCCAAGGGAGCCAGTGTACAGCTTCTGGGTCATGTGGCCAGCATGACTAAGCCGCTTCTGGCGAACCAGAGCAGTGCATGGAAACACCATTTACCTTCCCGCCGGAGCGGTACCTATTTATCTACTTGCACTTTGACGTGCTTTCGAACTGCTAGGTTGGCAGGATCAGGGACCAAGCAACAGGAGCTCACCCCGTCGTGTGGCACCTTAAAGACTAACAAATTCATTATGGCATAAAGCTCGTGGCTTATGGCGACTTACGTCTTAATGAATTTGTCAGTCTTTAAAGTGTCAAAAGAAGACTCTCTGTTGTTGTTTCTTGCTGCAAGAGGCTAACACCCTCTGGAAATCATTTCACTAATTACAGCCCTCAGTATAAGCTTGTGGGACAATTAGAGTAATTCAGCTTTAGGGGAAGCTTGCTCACCAGCAGCTATATAAGTGACAGCCATACAATCTTTTAAGAAAGAATTGGGGTTCCTTGCTTGTTGCACCTGCTCAGCAAGTTTGCCCAGGCAAATGGTCTCTCAAACATTTATTAATCCACTGCTGTTTAGAAGCTTGCTTCCAATGATATGCTATGAACAGCTCTGCTGCTGCATTCAATTGACTAAGAAGGTCTTTAGGCAGAAATTCAGGCTCATTAGATTCAAAATGATGGAGAACCATGGCTTTGGGAGTTACCTATAATCCAATGCTTAAAAAAATTTATGGCAGTAACCAGCAGTCACGGTCACTTCTAGATGGCCTGTTTACTGAGCATTCATCCTGATTTCTTTGCAGGGAGATTAAATGACATTCACTATTTATTAAGCATTCATTTGAATTGGTTTGCAGGAAGGTTAGATGGCGATGCGGCAAAGCAAGGATTATCTCACATGTTTCAGTGCATTTTCCCATCCCTTTTCTTATCACAAAATCTTATCTTTCAGGGAAGCAGGTTTGTTGTGCAAGACTTTAACGACACAACCTGAATTTAACAGTATGTGATTGAATCTCACTTGAAAATACTGATGATCTGCAAACACCCCACGTTCCAGAACTCCCACACTATTGGATATTCCCACCAAATTGGATAGTTTGCATTCTGCACATGGTATAATGGCATTAGGGCATTTGAAATATCCACAATTATACTGACACCATTATAAATATGCTCCATGTATTCTATTATGGGGGACCAGCTCCTGCCAACCTAGCAGTTTGAAAGCACACCAGTGCAAGTACATAAATAGGTACCACTGTGGCAGGAAGGTAAACAGTGTTTTCATGCACTCTGGTTTCCGTCATGGTGTTCCATTGTGCCAGAAGCGGTTTAGTCAAGCTGGCCACATGACCTGGAAAGCTGTCTGTGGACAAACGCCGGCTCCCTCATCCTGAAAGCGAGATGAGCGCCACAACCCCATAGTCGCCTTTGACTGGACTTAACTGTCCAGGGGTTCTTTACCTTTAACTTTTATCTATTATGCGGGTGAGGATGGGGAGGTAAGGAACTTGAAGGGGGATAATTAGAAGAAAAAAATGCTAAAGGGGAGAGTGCTAAGAAGCCCCTTCCCAGGGTTGTATTTTGCAAAAAGTAGTGATGGGGGCTAATTTGCAATTGGGGGAGATTGAAATATATACTCCTGAAGTTCAAAAAGGCTCATCCTTTACCGAAGAATCATAGCTCAGTAGTAGAGCACAAGCATGGTGGGCAGAAGATAAAAGGGTCCACCGGCAGACTCACTTTCCCAACTCCAGCTTGGCTTGGGAGAAAAGCATGGGGTTGCAAGCAGAGCAAGTGCTCAGTATACCCTCACAAAATTTCCTTTCTCTAAAACCTGGACCCCCTTTCCCTATTTTGTGCATGACTGGACTAATGTGGGCTTAAGCAAATGGGTCTCCTTCCATCAGATGTAGATTGTGTCTATAATTATTATTATTATTATTATTATTATTATTATTATTATTATCAAATAAGAATATGGGGAGACTACAGAGATCTATACATTACATTTCTAAAGAAAAGTTACACAGCTGTCTGACCTAAGGAAGAGTGGCTTTGGGAGGTGCTGGTTTTGAGTGGAGACGTGTTGGGGAAAAGAGTACTTAACCCGTGTCCTCTGTGCAGCTTCTGGAATTGCTTCCTCCAAGACTACTCCCTGCCCTCCCCATATTGCAGACCTTTGTAGGCAAATGCAAAGCTCCCTGTGGAACTGTTGGATGTGGTGGGAAGCAGCAGCTAAGTGGGGTTATAGTGGAGAAGTGGCTGGCAGGGAAAGGGATAAGCACTCCTCCCCAGGTTGATTCGCTGCTTAATATCACCCACACCTGAAGCTACCGTATTTTTCGCTCCATAAGACGCACCTGACCATAAGACACACCTAGTTTTTAGAGGAGGAAAACAAGGGAAAAAATATATTCTGAACGAAACAGTAGATGTATGATTTTTGTGGTTCATGCTGTGGCCACAGACATGATATGTGATTTGACAGTGAGTTTGGGGTAGCCCAATGCAAAAATCCTGAGAATCCATGCGGATCCGTGCTTTGTAACCATGTTTTTGCGCCACTGCAGTCCCACGAAACAGTGGATACATGGGGGGGGTGCAGGCTGTAGCCATGGACATGCTATGTGATCTGATGGTGAATTTGGGGTGACCCAATGCAAAAATCCTGAGGATCCATGTGCTTTTATCTCCCCCCTCCCAGGCAGCCTCCTTTATCACTAGCGTCCCTTATCTCCCTCCTGATCGCTTGCCGATCAGCTGCTCACTGGCTTCCTTTCAACACCCCCTTCCCTCTTTCTTAAAAAAAAAAAAAAGCACAATTTGTTTTTCACCCCTGGGCAATTCAGCTCCAGGGACCACGCATTTGCTGCATAAGACGCAAAGACATTTCCCCTTACTTTTTAGGAGGAAAAAAGTGTGTCTTATGGAGCAAAAAATATGGTACTTTCCTCCTGCTGCTTTTGTTTGATGTGCATCAAGTTCTGCCCTCAACCTTTCCTTCCTGTTTCAACAGTTGCTTTAGCTTAGAGTCATAACGGCCCTGTATTTAGGGCAGAAACAGACACCAAAAATGTAGGTTAATTAGTATGTAGTGTGGTTCACTGAGCAGCCGGAGAGAATTGATTTGTGACTGTGCTCTGTGATTGACATTTTCCCCTGTTTCAAACTTTTGGTTTTAAATTATGTGTCAGGGAACATTTGCTGGTGATGGATGTGTCAAGCCCTCTCTGCGTGATCACCACTTCAAGCTACTCATTAATTAAATATCGGTCTTCTTGCATGTTCGATACAGTGCCAATAATAGATGGGAATGTGTGACAGGCTTCAAGAAAGCAAGTCACTAACATGGTGATTATAGCAGTGTAAGTCCTTTACACCCTGTTAATATTTAGAAGGAAATGTGAAAAGCTTTGATTTCTTCTACTTCCAAGTTTTATCTTCAGGTCTGTATTTATGAACTTGCTACAGATGTGTCATGGCTGTCCTCCTTAGCCTGTTTAGATCCAATATAAACTCAGGAGTGATATTGGCGCCGAATGGCCCCCAGTAGCAACTGAAGAGATCTATAGGCTCATCCAATCCCTTAAACCTGGAAAAGCACCCGGCGTAGACAACATTACACCGGAACTCCTTAAGGCTAATGTTGAATGGTGGGCCCCTGTGCTAGCTGCCCTATTTACCAGCATAGACCAATCGGCCACTATCCCTGAGGATTGGGGATTAGCAATCATCATCCCTTTATTCAAGAAAGGGAGCCGATCAGACCCGGCTAATTACAGGCCAATTAGCCTCCTAAGTATCATTAGCAAATTGTACGCCGCCCACCTATGCGGCAAATTAGTGGACTGGTTGGAACAAGACCACATTCTTTCAGAAGCACAGGCTGGTTTTAGGGCAAATCGGTCAACCTTAGACCAGGGCCTTGTTCTCCAACATCTTGCGGAGAAATATACATCAAGAAAAGGAGGTTCCCTATACGTGGCCTTTATAGATTTCAAATCTGCTTTTGATTTAATACCGAGGGACAGGCTCTGGGGAAAGCTAAGCGCCGCAAATATAAACAAGCGCCTACTGTATCTCATCCGCAGTCTATATGAAAATACACGGATTCGGGTAAGGTGTGACCGACAGGGCCACCTATCCAAGGAAATCCAAATCCATCAGGGGGTCAGGCAAGGGTGTGTCCTTGCGCCTACTTTATTTAACTTCTATATCAACTCGCTAGTAGGACATATGGAGAAAGAAAATGCCCATCCCCCCAAATTGGCTGGAACGCCCCTCCCGGTCCTTTTATATGCGGATGACACAGTTCTAATTTCTTTTTCTTGTGTTGGATTAAGAAAACTTTTGAGATCTTTCACCAAATACTGCAGCATCGAACAATTAACAATTAACTACAACAAATCCAAAGTTATGGTGTTCTCCAAAAAAAGGAGGAGGCACAAATGGAGAATAGACAACCGCTTAATAGAACAGGTAGCAACCTTTAAATACCTGGGTGTAACCTTCCAGGAAAGGGGCTCCTGGCGCTTTCAGATTAATAATACTATTGCAAATGCAGAAAGATCTACCAAAGCGTTAATAAGATTCTTCTATGGGAAAGGAGGCCAGTACATACCGGCAGCCTCCCAGGTCTTTGCTGCCAAAATACTACCACAATTGTTATATGGATCCCAGATCTGCAGTTTTAAAAACCTTACTCTCCTAGAGGCATTTCAAACTAAGTTTTTCCGCTGCCTGCTGGGGATCCCTCTTGCGTATCCAACATAGCAGTCCGTTTGGAGGTTGGGCAAATTCCGATCAGTACCCGGATATGGATATTGAAGATCCATTACTGGCTAAAGCTTATTTTCTTCCCGGTTGGGCTGGCACCTTTGACCTTATTGGATACCTACCAATCCAGATGGAAGGCTACACTGCTGGAAAAGCTTAAAGGCTTGGGGATCCCACAGCAGACCCTGATAGCCACAGGCTTCGAGAAAGCTAGGACCACAATCCGCCAGCGTATCTGGGATGTAGAATTACAATGCCACATGAGTGAAATGATCAAACATCCTGCAATAAGGGACTATGGGAGAGGTTTTCTCCAGCTAACTATCTGTCAGGTCTCCAGGTACCTAAATACAGACGGTCTTTTACCCTCGCCAGATTCAACGTTCTCCCTTCTGCCTTACTTCAGGGCAGATTTGAGGGTAAACCATACGCAGCGCGGGTCTGCCCCTGTGGCTCGTTGGAGGTTGAGACTGCTGCACATGTACTGTTGCGTTGTCGTTTTTATGAGGACATACGTTCGACTTTTATTGCTCCTGTTTTGCGGAAGTCCGGGAAGGAGTCGGAACACCATGGTTTGGAACCGCTGCTGGAGGACAAGAATCCCAAGACTACATTAAATGTAGCCAAATTCTGTGCGGCTGCAATTAGTCGCAGGAAGCAAGTGGTATCCCATGGTGACCAAATCCCCAAGTGTTGATAGCAGGGGGCATCCTAATAATTAATTTTAATTTTTTAATTAATAATAATTAATTTTAATTTTTTAATTAATAATAATTAATTTTAATTTTTTAATTAATAATAATTAATTTTAATTTTTTAATTAATAATAATTAATTTTAATTTTTTAATTAATAATAACTAATTTTAATTTTTTAAATTTAAATGCTTGTTATACTTATATTGCCCTTTGTATTTTTTATATATATTTTTTATGACCTGTGATGTTGTGTGTGTTGGCGCTGGTCTGTGACCGTATTAATAAATTCATTCATTCAATATAAACTCAGCCCATTGTGTTCATGGTTGTTTTTTTCTGCTATGCATGGGAGTGCAGATCCCACACTGCACTGCACGCAAATATCTGCACACATTGATACCTCTTACCTAATGTAATGATACACTGCCAGAAAACACTACCAGAGCTGCTTGCTGGTGGCTTTACCTGTGCCTGGCAACAAGTATTGGTGATCAACATGCAAAGCCCAAGGTCTGTCCTTCTCATATGCTGAGCAATGAGACAATGAGTAATATGAATTAACAAAAGCTGACTGGCATGCAGTTTGCTTATTTTTATTTCAATGTCCGTCATTTCTTTACTTCCTCCCAGCTGCCCAGTGGGCACAACACTTGCCCCACCCCCGGGCACCAGCAACCCACGCTATGCCACTTGCTTTCTCCCCTTTTCAACAGCACTTAAAGGACCAATTCACCCTGTTGCATGGAGTCAGTTTGCAAAGCCAGCCTCGGGCTTAGGGATGGCTCATCTGCACATGGTCTATATACCATGGATAGAGTGTTGGAAGTGCAACAGGAGAGATCATTCAGTTAGTAAACTAAGGGTTACTTCTGTCAACAGTCAGCCAACTGGTGGGTGTGTTGCTGCCACCTAGATCAGACTACTTCAAGTAACTCATGCCTTGATTGGCTGTACAGTTTGGACCATTTCTCCCCTTGCATGTTTTCCTGCTATGAATAACGCCTGACCTAAGAAAGACCAAACCCCTCTGTTTCTATCTCCTTGTGTTATACATTGTTCTTTACTCAGTAAAGTTTTATCAATTTCTTTTCTGTCTGGACTCTGTCTGCATTATTCAAACGATTCCACTAACATGGGGGACCTCGGGCCACATCACCTATACCTAAACCATATTTTACCAGCTCTGCATTCTCAAGTGCTTTTGCTTGACCAAAAAGTGTCTTTTAACTGTGAGAATGCCTCTTCTTTGCCCGGATGGAGAGAGATACATGTGTGCATAGAAGCCAACTCCTAGGGGCCAAGGTCCCTTCCCCCCTCAGTAAAATATTTGAGGGTCCCCCCAAAATTGATGGGCATTGCCATTTAAATGGTGTGCACGTGCCATGTCTTGAGATCGATTGTACAGGGCATGGCTGCCTTGAATCCCCCCAATATTTCACTCAAGTTGGCACCCCTGTGTGAGCATGTGGAACCTTTGACTTCTGCTTGGCTGGAATGTAGCCTACTGTAGAAAAGGTTGGAATCAGTTGCCTCGCTCACTTTTGCTTCTGACCACCCCCAGAGCTGGCATGTGGCCACCTCTGTAAGTTTGTCCACAAGAGAATGCTCCCCAACTCTGGTCTATCGGCATAAAAGCCTGCAAGTGTCAGCCAAAAACCTACAGTTGACTTCCAGATGAAAGCCAGACGCCTGCTGTGCGCATCATATTGCATGTGTGAAATTACGCTTGGTTGGAGCATCCTTGCACAGACAGTCAGAGGCAGCAAATGGCCTGGATTGCCATTCCAAGTATCATCTCTGCTGGCTCAGTGCTGGGAAGCCAGAAAAAATGAGCAGAGTCTCAGTTATGCCACAGCTGTAAGGAGAGCAACTGAGCAGAATCCTATGGGCATCTACTGAGAGCCAGTGTGGTGTAGTGGTTAAGAGCAGTAGTCTCGTAATCTGGGGAAGCGGGTTCGCGTCTCCGCTCCTCCACATGCAGCTGCTGGGTGACCTTGGGCTAGTCACACTTCTTTGAAGTCTCTCAGCCCCACTCACCTCACAGAGTGTTTGTTGTGGGGGAGGAAGGGAAAAGGAGAATGTTAGCCGCTTTGAGACTCCTTAAAGGGAGTGAAAGGTGGGATATCAAATCCAAACTCTTCTTCTTCTACTACTCAAAGTGAGATCTATTCTTTCAATAGGACTTACTCCTAAGCATGTAGAAGACTGCAACCCAAGGGTCACGATGAGCCTCCTCTAAGCAGCAGTTTCCTTTTCAAGACATTTCCATAGCGGAAACAGACTCCCCAAGAATGTTGGCACCCCAGATGGTTGGTTGATCTACTTCTCTAATGGGGGCACAGAGACATCAATCCACAACATGTGTGTCTTCACAATTACTGAGAAATTCAGGGGATGTAGTCGGTTCTAAGAGGAGAAGCCTGTTTTCTCAGATGTATTAAAAGATCAGAACTCTTGCCAGCCTCTGATGTGTTGTCAAAGCAAGATCTCTGTGAAATTTTAATATCCTGTTTCTGAAAAGTGTAAAAAGGAGAAGATATTGGGCGGGGGCGGGGGGAGTTACATGAAAACAGGCACTCGTTGAAGAAACATTTCTCCCTCAGAACCACCGGCAACTCAGTTGGTTATGTATGCAGAAACAAAAAGTCACCCTGCCTCATTCTAATAGAGGAAAATCAGACCAAAAACAAAAGCCTTAGATTCTGCCTCATTTTCTTAATTATCTTCGAGTTGCAGAACCTATAGTTTGAGTTTATATTTAAAAGCACATTAAAAATAAGTAAATCTGTGGGTTGTTTTTGAAAAGCAGCTAATTGGTAACCTTCTACAAAGATAATGTCACCGCTGCTGCATGCGAGTTATAATGAAATAGTTTTTCAAACTGTTTATCGGGTACTGTTTAAAATTAGCTTCCATTGCTCATTGCCACACATCTGCATCAAGAGTTCGGAGGCATGACCCAAAGCCCATCAAACTCAGAGGTAATAGTCGCAGTAACTTCAGACTTCAGTGCAGCTTAGAGCATTAACCACAGGGCGTTGCCTTCCCTAATCACCCTCGTAAGCTGGCGCCTCTGGCATGCCCAGTTCTCGTTCAGCTGCTTTGCAGAGTTTCACCCACCCCAAAGTGTTAAGAACATAAGACCCTGCTGGATCAGGCCCGCGGCCCATCTAGTCCAGCATCCTGTTCTCTCAGTGGCCAACCAGATGTCTGTGGGAAACCAGCAAGCAAGACCCAAACACAATAAGAACACCCCTTCCTGTGGTTTCCAGCAACTGACATTAAGCAGCATTGGGGACTCTGACCATGGAAGCAGAACTGTTTAATTATTATTTGCTGAGGTTTAATTTTACTGTTTACTATTAGATTCAGATGGATTGTTGAATGTTGCTTTGTTTGATATAAGTTGCTTATTTTAAAGTTATTGTGACTTTTATATTGGATAAGATTGATACTATTAATGTTTGATGTTTATGTTTTAATATGCTTTTTATTAGTTTTCTTACTTAACAAACAAACACACACAATAAATGTATGTTTTTGTTGTTATTATTTTGGTTAATTTATGATGTTCGATGTTTTATGATGTTTTTATGTCTTGGAAGCTGCCCAGAAGTGGCTTGGGCAACCCAGCCAGATGGGTGGAGTATAAATGAATAATAATAATAATTATTATTATTATTATTAATTATTATTTTTCCTTGATCATTCTGGTCGCCCTTTTCTGAACTCCAAAGTCCTACTTCCTCTATAAAGATGGTTCTGTTCTTCTGCAAACAGTTAGCTCTGCTGATACTTTCCTACTGCACTGTACTGGGGTGTGCTTCTCTCCCCATCCCCTTGGCTACATAAGGACCACCACTCAGAGAACTAAGATCTTTGTTAGTGTGTATCAGATGTGTCCCAGCAATTCTATACAGGACCTCTGAGGTTTTCCACAGCAGTAATCTTCTCATCAGCAAAGAACATACTCTTTAAGGATTTGATAATTATTCTAGTTAACAGCTGCTAGAATAATAATTGCAAAACATCGCAAGACTTCTCTTCTTAATCTCCTTGGATTCTGGTATCGGGAACGATGTCAAATTGCTTTAATGGAAAGCTTCGCCCACAAGGTTAAAGTGCAAAGGCATGGGTGGAAGACAGATAAATCTTCTACGGTTGCCCACAAATCTACGGAATCTGTGTCATTGTTGAAAGGCACATGCCACCCATTCTCTATACGTAAAGAATGAACACTGCTTTTGAACCCACTGAAATAGCTTGGGTTAATTCTGCTATGCATTTCTTTATGTAGTGAAGGTATTTAATTTATATCCTACCCTCCCTCCCAGGGCAGCAAGGTAGACAAAGCAGTATTTCTATTCATTCCTTCAGCTTTTGCACTGCTGAAAATTGCCCTAATATAGCATTCTATTCCCAAAGCAGCAAGAAGCAGACAACTTTATGTTCTGTACAACAGATGTAAAAAAAACCCAAGATTTTGATTATCTCAGTATATCACATTTTCATAGACAGCTCTCCTGCAGACAGTTTTGTAGAATTAAGGAAACAAACTTACCTGAATCTGGCATACTCTTGTGGCTTCTTCTTCCACGTACAATTCTGTAGTTTCCCAACTATCTGCAAATAATAGTCTTCAGAATATCTGAAAAGATTAAAATAATGTGTTATCAAAAGCATACATTTTTTTTGCCCTTTAATACATGGTGTGGCATAGACCGCATCTGCACCATGCATTTTTAGCATCCTTATAGCATTTTAATAGCCATGTCTTCCCCCAAAGAATCCTGGGAACTGTAGTTTGTAAAGGGGGCTGAGAATTGTTAGCAGCAACAATTCCCACAGAGGTTTAACAATCAGTCCCTCTTCCTAGGGAGACATAGATGAAAAGCTGCTTCTTGATCTCAGAAACAAATATGTAAATGTTGGTTAAAAACTGCTTTGAATGGCGCAGTTTGCCATCTTGATTCCAACTGGCATCCAATTCCATCTAAGCATAGATGAAAACCTGCTCCTTGATCTCAGGAATAATAATAAAAAATTTGGATATATGGTATCTGAAGAGGTGTTCAGATGTGTAGAAATCAGACAGGCAAACCACTTTCCAAAATACACAGCAGAAGATGAGCAATGGTTTTGAATTAAGGCCGGGCAGGCAGGTAAAAGGTCAGCAAGTGATGTGAGCTCTTCCAGCTGGGCATTTCCAGCTGAGCAACATGGACATTGCTCCACAGATCTCCACAGTATAATGGAATTGCTTCTGAAGAAAAAAACCTGGCAGCCCTACTTGAAACAGCCTCTCTGAAACACACATCTCTTCCTATTTGTGCCACAGATAATCTCCTTCTTGTTGAACCAGGTTTTTAAACATTTATGATGTTTGGAGAGACAGGCAAGCCTTGTGAAGCAACATTCCACCCTGCGCTGCCTTGAATGTTCATTTATTTATTTCTTGGGCTCTTTCAACAGCTTCCCTTTTGTGTTCAGGGTTGTTCAATATTTTTGTTGCAAAAATGAATGTTTGTCTGCCGAGACGCATTCTAAGCAGAACATCACATTCAGATGCAATGAGCCTCAGTGGCAAAGGCCTCACAAAGATGCAAGCCCTTGAAATGTTTCACCCCTTGATAAAGCATCTTGCAAACAAGACTTCATTCGGATTTGAAAAACAAATATTCTGTGTGTTTGCTGCCAGTGCTAATTCCGTTTGTGCCTTCAAAGTGCAGCCATATTGAGTTCAGTGATGCTTACTTCCAAGTGGGTACATATCCTTCAACATTTCTCTGATGAAAATAGGAATGTCCTATTGAATCATCACCATCAGCATCATCGTTTTATTATTTATACCCTGCCCATTTGACTTGGTTGCCCTATCCACTCTGGGCGGTTTTCAACATATATTAAAACAAAATTAATCATTAATTTTTAAAAACAAGTTCCCTATACAGGGCTGCCTTCAGATGTCTTCTAAAGGTTGTAATTTACTTATCTCCTTGGCTGGGGGGGGGGGGGTGTCACATAACTCCATACCCTCCAACATTTTTCTGATGAAAATAGGAATGTCCTAAGGGAAAGCGGGACATTCGGGATTAAATCAGAAACTGGGATGGCTTCTGTAAATCCAGGACTGTCCCTGGAAAATAGGGACACTTGGAAAGTCTGTGAGTAAGTATACTATACACATGCTTCCCTGAGAGTAAGTCTCATTGAACTCAATAGGGCTGTGTTTCTAAGTAGACATGTATAGGATTACACTGTTAAAAATGTCTCTGCACATCATGGTTACGATTCTTCAAAAATGTAGCTACTCTTTTTTTTAAGCCATCAAATAAAAACTAAAAATAAATAAATCCAAGCATTTGCTTGTCAAGCTGTGAATGATAACATAAAGTCTTGGACTTTATGGTTTTTTGGGCGGGGCACCGCCTTGTCCTCCAACTCACAGAGCAACCAAATGTAGGTGGCCCTGAAGTAGGGTACTAACTTCTTTTCATTGCACCCCTTCCAAAAATAGTGCAGGTCCTGGTTTCCCAGCTCTAAAATAGGAGAGAAACATTGGTATACCTGGGGAGGTTCACACATCTTTCCCTATTCCAGCTCCCTGATTTCAGCAGCTTCCTTTGATTGGGATTAAGGGAAAGATCCATTTAAAAAGAAATGGGGGAAGGGACCAAGAAAAGCTGGACTCCTGAATACATATACTGTAAGTTGTCTAAGTTGGACCTGTGTACATTTTTCAAAGTAAGGGTGTGTGCAATCTTATGCCCCAACAACACTGTCTGGGGACTCAACGCTAGGAGACCACCAAGAATCACTCGCTGCTGGAGCAACTCTGCTGGCTAGCAATAAGTAGCATGGGGGATTTCAAGAGCAGAGTGAGACCCCTCAGATCCCACTCACAAACACTCTGGCAATTATCATGTTAAAGTTCCCATCCTTGGCGACCCCTCCAAACGACCACTATTCTCTGCCACACCAGCTACACAGCCAGGATGAAGCAAGTGATTCCTACCAACTAGAGCCAATAATGGAACACCTACAGCAGAACATCAGCCCCAGAGAACCATCATTGAGATGATGACAATTTCATACACAAATCACTTCCTGTGAAACACCCTGAAGCAAAAACAAAAACCTAAATAATAAACCATATATATTCATTCATTCATAGGTCAATACAGATAATATTTTCTTTTTTAAAAAAATCTTCACTGATAGTTAAAAGGTAAAGGACCCCTGGAAGTTTAAGTCCAGTCAAAGGTGACTATGGGGTTGCGGTGCTCATCTCACTTTTCAGGCCGAGGGAGCCAGTGTTTATCCACAGACAGCTTTCCGGGTCATGTGGCCAGCAGGACTAAACCACTTCTGGTGCAATGGAACACTGTGACGGAAACCAGAGTGCATGGAAATGCTGTTTACCTTCCTGCCGCAGCAGTACCTATTTATCTACTTGCACTGGCATGCTTTCAAACTGCTAGGTTGGCAGGAGCTGGGACAGAGCAACAGGAGCTCACTCCATTGTGGGGATTTGAACTGCCAACCTTCTGACTGGCAAGCCCAAGAGGCTTAGTGGTTTAGAGATAAGGCTCGTTGGAAGGGATGGTCTTCAATAGGGACTGAAGAGACCATGGAGATGGCACCTGCCTGATATATCATGAGAGGGAGTTCCGGAGGGTGGGTGCTGTCACATTCAAGGCCCAGTTCCTACATTACATGGAAAGGGTTTTCCTGATGAGATGGGATCTGCAGGAGTACAGTGATCGGCTGGGTATGTAAAGGGTGAGATCATCTGAGATGACAGGACAGGTGGCTGCTCTCTCTGCCCTGAAGGTCAGGCACCCTTACAGCACATATAAAGATAGTAGGTCATGCAGCCTTAAAGCCAAGAAGCGAGGGACTCTGCTGAATAGTTTTCTTTCTTCTTTTTGTAAAAGGGACACTTAGCAAAAGAGAGACCCAGAACAAACAGGATGAGCAGAACAGAATTTTTCTTAAAATAAACATTTCAATGCAATAGACATTGGCACATTGTAGCTGATAGACACATCCGAAGAAGATTTCTTAAAACAACCCCCCTCCAAGTCACTCCAACTTAGCTGATTTTACTAAGCAACCACTTACATAAAAAGTATGGTTATATTAGCTGCAGGCTGCAGTTCAGCCAGGGAGAGACAGAGAGAGAATTAGTTGGCTGTGGGGAAAACCGCTTGACAGTTCCATTCTTTGATGCTGAATATCATCATATACCACAAAATAATTTCACTTAGAAGATTGAGGCCTAAGGGGGAAATCTTGATAAATTAAGGGGAAAGACTATAAAGCTGATACAACAGATAGGACACTGTGAGTGTGTGTGTGTGAGACTTGGGGCAATTATGCTGTCGAGGGGAAACTCCTGCACGGTTCTAAAAGCAGACTTCTGCCTCAGGACATCAGCAAGCTGGAGATCACAAAATGAGAACAACTGTCAGATTCTGGAAGAGATGTCATTGGACTGGCAACATATTAAAAAGCCACAGAGCCAATGTCTAGCTCTGAAGAACATCAAAGCACTCCGTTTAGATGCCAGCTCAATGGTCACATGAAGGACATACTGAGAGAAAAAGAGAGAGAAAGAGAGAGAGAGACTAGTATAATACATGTATGTTTGTGGATTGCTCCAGGGACTCCATGGGGGGCTGTAAGGCAGGGTATAAATAATTCTAATAAATAAGCAAATTTATTCACTTTGAGGGAATAGATCCTGAAGAATAAAACTCAGAAGATGGATTATACCATCTCATGCTCAAGTAGAACATGATATGGATAACAGAGATTAATCTAAAAAGGTTATTGAAGATTCTTGTTTAGTGTGGAAGTTGGACAGCTTCAGAATCCTTCCAACTATGTAGCCTTGAGCCCGCAGAAGTATCTGGCATGGTCACACTGTCCATTACGTTAAGTGTGGGGATACACAGCGGTACCTTGGTTGTTGAGCTTAATCCTTTCCAGGAGTCCGTTCGACTCCCGGAACTGTTCGAAAACCAAGGCGCGGCTTCCGATTGGCTGCAGGAGCTTCCTACACTCAATCAGAAGCTGCGGAAGCACCGTCGGACGTTTGGCTTCCAAAGAACGTTTGAAAACTGGAACACTTACTTCCGGGTTTTCAGTGTTCGGGAGCCAAAACGTACGAGTACCAAGGCATTCAAGAACCAAGGTACAACTGTATGGACTAGGGAGCAGACATTAGCTCAATGTTGGAGAACATAGTTTGTCTCTCATCCCTTGTTACTTTCCTTGGGTCCCCTCCCCCCGTTTACTCCCTGACTCTCTGTTCCCTCCTCCATTTCCTCCTCCATGCTCACTCACACATTCCCACTCCTTTCTCCATTCCAGCTCATCTCAGTCTCTCTTCTTCATTCTTCTTCCTTCTTCCTAGCTTCCAACTCATCCATACCCTCTGCTGCTGCTGTCCTTTTTGATCCCACTTCTCTTCCCATATGTCAGTTGACCTGCTCCTGTTTCCCCTTCTCTTTCTCAGTGTCTGGGACCCACGCCAAAGGCATCTCCTGACCCCACCTGTATCCTCCACCAGGCTGAATCATCAGTACCTTCTTCCCACTTCATCCCTTTCTGTCACCTTCCAGCTGGATCACCCCAACGTCTCCTCACACATGATTTTATAGCAACATCAACTCTTGAAAGAAACTTAAGTTCAGAATGGCAACTGGAGCCCTTGAGCAACAAATCTCTCACTCTGAAGATGCTAACTGGAGAGGGAAGCATGATAAACCTTGACATTGTTCTGTTCCCTAAAGCTCTCAACACTTTCTATCCCAATCCCTCCAAGTCCCATTTATCCTGAGGTTTAGAAGTGATTATCGGCAGCTTTCCTGCTTCTGCACAGAGTCCTCGTCCTCAGCAATAGTCCTTGGTTGAGTCATTGTCACTTCTGTGACATAAAAGTTGAATAAAAGGAATTAAGAGATCAAAGCTTCTTGCAACAACAGATGCAGCAGCACCCACTTAAAATTTACTTACTTTTACCCAACTTCTAATAATTAGTTTTTAATTAAAGATTTTCTTGTGCAACAAACAAACAAAATAAAACAAAACTTTAAAAGTACATATAGAGTGTTTCCACTTTCCATTCATAGAATGTTTTTCACAGTTTGTTTGCTTTCAGTATGAGACACTGTAGTCAGTTGGGGGGAAAGAGAGGGGGGGATAATGATATTTCATTCTATTGCATAGTGTTTGTGCAGGGTTTTTGTATCAACATCACGTGGGTAGGTCCTTTATTTAAATATTTATTTATTTTTCTGGGCATTGTAAGAGATTGGAGGGTCCAGAGTTTGGTTGGTTGCATTCAGTTGGTTGCAGTGTAGTTTGGTTGTATGTGTGTGGGGTGAGTGTGTGCTGAGTCAGGTTAGCCATATTGATTTGTATGCTGTTGGTGGGGGGGATAAGTCATAGTCTTCTTGTGCTGTATATATAATGAAGGGGATCCACACCAGGGTGAAGGCATCCTCCATTGCTTGCCCCCATGCTAGTGAACCAACCATTTTTTTACCCAACTTTTGAGTCAACAGAAGCTTCCAAACTGGCTATTTATCTATAGCCAGTGGCAGGTGGTGGAGAAAACAGATCCTAATGTGTAATAAACAAGATACCTTTAAGTATTGTATTGCTTTAGAAGTTTTACTGTCAATCCACAAAGTCCCTCAAATTGGGCAGGACTGAGAGTTTCGCAAGGTTTTACTGAGGTTGTGTTAGAATCAAGCATTAACTGCATGCTGCGCCGCACAATGCCCATTCAATACCAGTTAAACAAAAAGGGGAAAAAGTCTTCAATTGCCTACCTTTCATTTTTGAACATGAAATAGCTCTGCTTGGTCTCTAAGTGCCTATTTGTTTCTCAAGGAGACTTCAGGGCCTTTATTGACAGCTTTTGCAGAAGGAGATAAGCATTTCAGTTTACAGCACTTTTTGAAACTTCTTCATTCTGTCTCCATTGATTTTTTAAAAATAATAATAATTCATGTTTTGAACAGCCAGGGCAGTCATTTTTGTTTGTTATTTTTGTAATTATTTAAGACTGCTGTTCTTTCTTTCTTTCTTATAAGATGACAATCATTTATCCCATCAGTGTTCATGAGATTACAAACATATTCAAAATGCAACCCAATACGAACTGGGTGTTTCAAGTGGAGTGTTTTGCTTCAAATGTGAGTAAATGGTACATCCAGGACCAACGTCTCCAGATGCAGCCTGCAGAAAACAGTGCACAAGTGTGAACAGTAGGCGACAATCTTATAGTGATAATGGAGGGAAATATAACTAAACCATGTAGCTAAACAACTTAAAGGTCATCAAAACTGATCTGCTAATCAGACATTTAAATCAATGGAAATTCCAATTACGTTGGCAAGGATATACTAGAAGGACACACAATGAATTCAGATAATGAAGAGATGTGTATGAACAAACATAAAATGAAGAGGCTTAGTGAAAAAGCCTATGCTTTGCATGGATAATTCCCATGTTCAATCCCTGGAATTTCCAGCTGAAAAGAGCTCAATTAGCTGGGCTAGCAAAGACCTCTTTGCAGTACACTCCCTGCCAATAAGTCTAGACAGGGCTGTCTGATTAGTGGTCTAATTCAGTATATGGCAGTTTCTTACGGTCTTACATAATTTCAACAATTGATCTGGTGAAGGGATGGTGAGGTGACCTCTGGTGAACTCCAATCTCCATTTTGATTTTTGAGCCCCCAGTAGCCTACATAATGGGGGCAAAACACAGTATGTATCTTGCCTAATAGCTGTTGAAAGTCATATCCTCCATCAATTGGCCTAGTCTCGCCAGTGCGCGGCTGCTTTCTACAAAGGGAGAGGCCTAACCATGTCAGTGTTGGGCACTCCTGCATACACACATCTCTTTTCAGCATGGCATTCATGACCTTGCATTGCCTTTCCCCAACTCTCCCTACAATAAAGCTGTGGCCAAAGTTTAGCCTTTCCCATCTTGGCCAGCTGTTCTCTGGTTGTTGTCATTCATTTATCCATGCCATTTCATCCAAGAAGCTCAAGGTGGTGTACAATGGTCTCCGCTCCTCATTTTATTCTCAGAAAAACCCTATGCGGTAGGTTAGGCTGAGAGGCAGTGTGTGGTCCAAGGTGACTGACCCAAGATCACCCAGTGAGCTGAGTGGAGATTCGGACCCCAATCTCCCAGTCTGGCTCTCTCACCTTTACATCACACTGGCTCTCTAATGGGATTGAGTAAGCTGAGTGACTTGCTTGAAAATTTGGTTGCCTTAAGGAGTCACAGAAGCCTTCAGGGAGGAACTAAAGAAATAGCTCTGAGGGATGATGGGGAAAGCACAGAGCTGCACACCACAATGTGGAGGATGGAGATATCTCCTTCCCAACCAGCATATGTTACAAACCCATTAGGAAGCAGGCTTCTCCTTAACGACCTTGGAATCTTCTGATAACAGACAGTTCCTACATATATTGATGCCAGAGATTGAACCCCTGAATGCAAGGCAGATGCTCTGTCACTGAGCTATATCCTTTCCCCAATTCATGCCTTAAGCATGGGTCACCAACATGATGCCTGTGAGCACCATGTGCTATAATAGGTCTCCCTTGACACCCACAGGCTCGCATCTGAACTAGTATGAAAGAAGCTTTCCTTAACCAATGGAAATGTTTTTTAAGCCTAATTATGCTATGGGGGGACGCGGGTGGCACTGTGGGTTAAACCACACAGCCTAGGGCTTGCCGATCAGAAGGTCGGTGGTTCGAATCCCTGCAACGGGGTGAGCTCCCGTTGCTCGGTCCCAGCTCCTGCCAACCTAGCAGTTCGAAAGCACATCAAAGTGCAAATAGATAAATAGGTACCACTCTGACGGGAAGGTAAATGCTGTGTCCATGCGCTGCTCTGGTTCGCCAGAAGTGGCTTCGTCATGCTGGCCACATGACCCGGAAGCTGTACGCCAGCTCACTCGGCCAATAAAGCGAGATGAGCGCCGCAACCCCAGAGTCATCCGCGACTGGACCTAATGGTCAGGGGTCCCTTTACCTTTATGCTATGGGGAGGGGAGGTTGCAGCTGGAAAGCAGAGAGCTGAGGCACAGAGGTGGTGTCCACAACAGTTTCTATGGTTTGCAAATGTGCTCATGGGTTGGCATCCTTGGTCTTAAGGATATAGGCAGGAATTCCCCCCCACCCCATCCTAGCAGCTCCGCTTACTACTGCAGAGTTTGCCTGTTACCATAGCTGAGCCGTCAGAATCACGACTTTGCACTTCTCTCCTTGCTCCCTACTCCCTAGTGGTGGTCCAGAATTGCAGAACAGGTCCATGCGAAGGGCTACTGCTCCGATATGCTGTCCTGTGTGCTCTTCCATCACATTGTGACTCGTCAGAGCAATCTGAATGCGAGAGCTGACCTAGAGGCATCTCATTCAACAGAGGCAAACTTTTAAACGTTCTCTGCTGTTCAAAACACTTAAAAAAAGAAGAAGCCTAAATGAAGATAAGTGTCTTGATGGTTTTCGTCCTAATGAAGGATTTTGGAACGCTTGAAGTCTAATGAGAAAAAAAGGGAATGGGGGGGGAGAGACTTCTCAGGAGAAGCAGTAAATGAAATACCTCGCTGAAATAGGTATAGTCATTGTTGCTTGTTGAAACATGCAGCATAAAAATCAATACACAGAGAAAAGAACAAAACACTGAGGGTGTTTGCTAGAGGTTTGCTTTGTCCTTGTGCATTAACATTTGTGGACACATCATGTGAGAGGACATGGTGGGACAACCTTTTTCCCTTGGGGAAATCTGTCAGGGACCGTGTGCTGACACTGGGCAGGGCTGAATCCAGTGGGAGGCGGGCCAGAGCAAAAACAAGGCAGGACCACCTCTTTTGTTTTCTGCAACCCTGCTTTCTTCCAGTCCCTCTTTCCACTGCCGGCTTTCCACTCACATCTGGTGCTTCTTCCTTCCCACTCAACAGGCTGCTTGCAAAAGACTTTTTGAAATTAGACCACAGGTTGCTCATCTGTTTTACAGTGGAACCAGAAGTTCTGGGACTAAGAAGGGGAAGAAATTAGAAGTAATATGCTTGTTGGGCTAGAAAGACAACAACAAGGAACACCATACATCCAGGAACTCTGGGACGTGAAGTAGACAGTGACTTGAGGTTGAATCCAAAGTTAGTTCTTGATTAATTTCAGTGGGTTTGCTCTGAGTTTGGCTGGTGGACTAATGGAAACTGTGTGAGCTCCAGCCTCAGAGCCTCTTCAAGCACTGAAAGGAAGAGGGATAAGATGTGAAGCATCAACCCTTGTACCTGACCAGCAGTATTATGCTCCTAGATTGCCAGGGTGCCATTGATAGGTGCTGGTGGGGTGGCTGGCAAAGTCATTTAAATAATGTAGCCCAGAGAGAAAAGAAATCCTGACAACACATTGCTGAGGAACACAAAAACAGTATCAAATTCGAAAAAGGAACAGAGAAGTTTTTTCTTTTCTCGTTGAGATCTTGTACATAGCAGGGAGACATTCAACCAAACCTACAGAGGAAATGCTCCCTCAGAATCACACTGCCAATAGTGTCACATGATACCTCAACAAATATCATTCCACTCTGCCTTGTTGCTTAAACAACCCCCCCACCCCCAACTTGGTTAACTGACATATTGATAGCAGAACTAACTGTTAAGTTACAAGCAGCACGATTCCTGCTGTTGCACTTCCAACAGAAATTAGATGGCAGTAGCTACCAATTATCTTTCCCACAATTCCGCAGGGTGATACGATATTGAGGGCATTGTGGGGGGATTTTAATGGTGGCTAGACCCAGTCTCCCAGTTGCCCAGGACAGGCATCAGCAGTGGGCCTTGGGAGGTGCCCCAAGATGACAATTATATAAATACTGGGAACCTGGGATTCTACCTGTGCCTGTTTTATGTGTACTTCAAGCTCCAGTTCAAGTCATTGACTCCAGCTCTTGTCACTGGCCTGAGGGACTCAGGTTTGGAGATTATGCATTCCAGGTCTAGATTCAGGTCTGGCCACTCTGCGCTTTGATCTGTAACCTCAGTCAGTCTTGTAACTCCTTTCTTTACAATGCGACTCCACTCTAGCCCTGGTTTTGCAATGAGCATCTCACCCTTGGAACTACTGCCAACACACATCTGGGTATCCTGGGTTGTGTTTAGCAGCTGTATTTGGATGTAAACCAACTGAATTTAAGAACAGAAGAAGACCTCCCTACCTTTTTTTCTTGATAGATGAAGACCAATTGTTGTTCCACAACTCTTTGCATTTTGAGGCTTGCTCAGACTTCTGAATTCCAGTCTGATTGGGAGCCGTTCTGTTAACATAAAAGGGAAAATCAGTCTTTGAAAGAATAAAAATGGTCTTGGCAGCAGCTGCACAATGGATGGCTGTGAAGCAAAGATAAGCAGCAGCAGTTCCAGCTTGTGAGGGGAGAAAACTCAGGATGGCAAAGTCTGTTTCACTCTCATTCTATGGTTGTTTTTTTTTGCCCAGGACTTCTTCTTTTTTTAATGATATTTATTAAAGTTTCAAAAAAAGATTACATTGATAAGAAAAAGAAAAATAGAAAAAAGAAAAATACAAAATGCAAAAAAACCCAATTAAAAATAATTCCTTTTCATCCCTTATCTTTCATTTACTTGTTTCCCGGACCTCCTCATGCCTCCCTTTTTTGTATTCCAGTTCAATTTATTAGTTCAGCAATTCCTTTCCCTCCTTATTTTATCCTAATCTTTAATCTTAATATATTATAACATTAAGTTTTGACCTATTGAAAATCCAATTTTTCCATATTCTTTTACCATTACAGCTAGAAACCACTTAACTTCAATCCAACATCATTCTAACATTCATTAATTTTGCAATATTTCTGTAAATAGTCTTTAAATTTCTTCCAATCTTCTTCCACCCACTCTTCTCCCTGGTCTCAGATTCTACCAGTCATTTCCGCCAATTCCATTTAGTCCATCATTTTCATCTGCCATTCTTCCAGTGTGGGTAGATCTTGTGTCTTCCAATGCTTTGCAATAAGTATTCTTGCTGCTGTTGTAGCATACATAAAGAAAGTTCTGTCCTTCTTTAACACCGATTGGCCGACTATGCCCAGGAGAAAGGCCTCTGGTTTCTTTAAGAAGGTATATTTAAATACCTTTTTTAATTCATTATAAATCATCTCCCAGAAAACCTTAATCCTTGGGCACGTCCACCAAAGGTGAAAGAATGTACCTTCAGTTTCTTTACATTTCCAACATTTGTTGTCAGGCAAATGGTAGATTTTTGCAAGCTTGACTGGGGTTATGTACCACCTGTATATCATTTTCATAATATTCTCTCTTAAGGCATTACATGCCATAAACTTCATACCTGTGGTCCACAACTGTTCCCAGTCAGCCATCATTATGTTATGTCCAACGTCTTGTGCCCATTTAATCATAGCAGATTTAACCATTTCATCCTGAGTATTCCATTTCAACAGCAAGTTATACATCTTTGACAAAATCTTAGTTTTGGGTTCTAACAATTCTGTTTCTAGTTTTGATTTTTCCACCTGGAAGCCGATTTTCTTGTCCAAATTGTATGCCTCCATTATCTGATAATAATGAAGCCAGTCTCGCACTTTGTTTTTTAGTTTTTCAAAACTCTGCAATTTCAGTCTATCTCCATCTTGCTCCAAAATTTCCCAATATTTCGGCCATTTGACCTCCATATTGAGCTTTTTCAGAGCTTTTGCTTCCATCGGTGACAGCCACCTTGGGGTTTTATTTTCCAATAAATCCTTGTATCTTATCCAAACATTCATTCTATGGTTTCTGTCCAGAAGTGGGCTGCTCTGAGTTGCCACCAGAAGCATATTTTATTATAAAGGGGTGAATTTTGCTTGCATTGTTCAGTGTGTTATGTTGATTTTGATGTAAATCAGAAATGTGATATCTATCTATCATCTATCTATCTATCTATCTATCTATCTATCTATCTATCTAACCACACACAGCTTCAACATAATTGCATTTCAAAAAGGCACGTCTATATTAACAATAAACATTAATGGCTTTTACAAAGACCCAAGATGCTCATTTCAAATATGAATGTGCATTTCAAATAGCATCATTATAGCTGTATTTGTTACCTTTATACCCAGCCTTTCTTCCATGATTGAACTCAAGGCCACCTTTTGTTTGTATCATGTTGAGACTCTGTGCTGCTTCACTTCTGCAGTGTTACTGCTGTGTGTGCTCTTAAGACAGGGGTGGGGAACTTTCAGCCCTTCAGGGGCCAGGGATGATGGGAGTTGTAGTCCAACAACATTCAGAGGACCAAAGGCTTCCACCCACTGCTTTAAACCTACTTTCTAGGCCTTGACTTCAGGCAACCACCTCAATATGGCAAGAAATGCTCCACACAGAGAATTTAATTTGCCTGCATTCTCTTCAGATATTAGGGCTGTGCACCAGATTCAGCCACAACCCAAAGCATGCAGTCCAAAATATCTGAAGGCCACCAAGTTGGCAAATGTTCTCCTAGACATCCCCACCCCTGGCCCTACTCCCCTTTTACTCTAAATCACCTCTGTTCATCTTATCCCCTGAATAAGTTCATGGTTCTGTCAGGTGGGTGGAGATTTCAGGATCAGAATTCCTCTTCCCCTTCAACCTTGGTTCTGCCTTCAGAAGGAGACCGCTGTTCATTCCCCTGGCAATGATGTCTCCAAATACATAGCCTTCATCTTCACAGTAGGAATGAATGACAGGCACACAACAATACAAGAGAAAATAAAGTGCCGCACTAAAAATAAAAGTGGTATTGAAAACTGGCTCCGAGATACACACACAACCATAAAAATCAAACACTGAGTTTATCTCTGAATGTATCTCTATTAAATAGCTTTAATGGGACAGTGCAAGCAGACCAAGTCAACATGCTAGAATGCAATTGCTTATGAACAGCACGAGTTCACAGCTATCCCAGCATGAGGTTGTGCAAGAATTGCAAATGTGTTATGCTGTCATGAGAAACAGGTGTGCCCGCTCAAATATTTTGGAGGAGAGTGTAAAGCAGAAAAGGGACTGAAGCAAAGAAGCTCCATCTTCCACAGCCAACGGGCCTCAGAGTGTCCTAAGAGTGGTGACAGGCTTTAAATAAAATCCATCATTACTTATAGAAGAAAAGTAAACAGCCCAGTGTCACTCAGCTCAGTTCTGCTCCAATCTCCAGGCCACCTATCGTTTTGCTCTTGCTCTTCGGGTTTTTAAGATCCAGGAGCCATTCCTGACATTTTGTGCTTGGGAAACACACAACATGGATCTCGCTTTCAGTTTCCTTCTGAGTGCATGGGAGTGCAAATGACTGCCACCTCTAGGGGGGGAAATGAAAGCTAATAACATGAAAAACGAGCTCTGTGTGCTGCAGTTCCTCTGCGGTAGCCAATGATTCCCAAAAGCTGGGTAATATTATATTTCCTGGTCCAATGCTTTCTTACCCAATCACAATATAATCTCCAGCTTTCAAAGGTTGGGTGACTTTGACCTTTTCTGCATATTAGCATTCCCTTCTTTCTTAGCCTTGACTCTCACACTGCCTAAAACTCATTACTTCTAGTCGTCTTAGCTTCTGGATTTCAAGTGGGAAGTCAAAAACTGTGCCAGCTCACAATACATGCTCTTTATATTTGCACTCTTTCCCCTCTCCTTTCAAAAACTATTGGAAAGAGCTGATAGATTCCCTGATTGCTGGCTACAATTCTCCTTCTGGACTCTACACTTGTCTCAAGTGCCTGGCACTATCTTGGCACATGGGCAGCTGGATCTTGGCATACGGACTGGATAGACACCCACATAGTTACCCCAGCTATGATCCTTCTTCCCCAAATCCAGGATTCACTTGCTATTACAGCCCGGGGGGGGAGTGTTGTTTAGCCTGAGGGACACATTCCCTTCATGTGTAACAATCCTGGGGCCACATGGCAATGGAGGGCAGGCCCAGAGGGGAAATGGGTGGAAGAATGGAAGCTATCATACCTTTGTATGTAGGCTAGTTTCTACACATACAACTCTCTATCACCCATCCCAGACAAACAAGGGGCATTAACTACAGTTCAAGGACTCATTCCAGCCATGGGAAAACACTCAAGGTGGGTGCAAAGTAGAGCCAACGAGGGGTGTGGTCTGGGAAGAGGCCTGGGGGCCAGGTAGAAAGAACTGGAGGGTTTCATTTGGCCACTGGCCTGAGGCTCCCTACTCCCATATTACAGTTTGGACACTCCCCAAAGTGACAAAATATGTACAAATTTTGAAAATACCCTACCATGTTCTTCTATTTCTAACACTGCTATTCATTCTTCATTCTCTCCCATTTTTATTAAGTCAGCTACTCCATGACCATTATAAACCAATTGTTGTTCCCCAATAGGATACATGCTTTTAACTTCTTAAGTATTCTGCCACTAATTTTGTCGAATTAGATAATGAGACTGCATTGCTGTTTTAGGGTTCGTGACACTTTGATTAATAAGGTAATATGCAATCTAAATGCTCGGTGAAATGGACTGTAAAATCTTAAACGGCAGAAGTAACAAATTGTCTTCTGACATTAATCACGGCAACTGTGTAAGAGGTTGTCTGACACTCTCTTCCCACTCTTCCCCCCCCCTTCCCCCAGTGGAATTGTCACTAATGTTTTAGGCCAATGAAAGGTTACTGAAGCCAGACATCACCGGCAGACATCTCCTTCCCACGCCCCATGGCTGGCTCAAGACATTTTGCTGTCTGATGCAAAGATCAATATGGATCTCCTAGGAACGTAGGAAGCTTCTCAATATTGAGTCAGACCACTGAATTGAACCTAGGACTTTTGCACGCAAAGAATATGCCCTATCATTGAACTCCACACCTTCCACCACAGGCCATGTATAGAAGCCAACTGCATTGGCAGTTGAATCTTTCTTTGACATTGGCAATGGGGGAACATCTGAGGATGGCAGGCTAGTAGGCCTAGTGACACATTCAGATCTGCCTTCCAACATGTTGCTCCTACACACCCCACCCAGCAACTACTGCCTGTGGCGGTTGCCTCATTTTTCCTAATAGTAGGGACGGCCCCAAGCAAGATCAAACCTTCAAACTAGTTAAGCCACTGGAATGGGAATTAATAAGTACATTTAGCATTCTGAATTCCAGTTTCTGCAGCAAATCCAGAAAAATCTCAGGACATTTTAAACAAAGCCAAGCTGGTTTGGGTCAGCAGAAAGTGCTTCCCCACTCCTCCCCACAAGGCAAATAAAATTCATTTGGCACCTAAGGCAGAAAATCCCACAAGTATCTCTCCACATTCCCAGTCAGTCAAAATACAGTCACTACAATCAATTAAGTAACTAACAGTTTTGCTGCCAATTCATGGCACTCAAAATCAGTGCCTGAGGCAGCTGTCTGATTCTGCCTAATGGCAGGGCTGGTCCTGTCAGTCCCATAAACTTGACAGCGTGGCATATTTGCCATAAGCAAAGGCTCCTGTGCATTAACCAAAGTTCAAGGATTCATTCCAGCCATGGGAAAAGAAGAGAATGACCCTTGGAAAATGCTGTGGTGAGGATCATCAACAAGTCACTCTCCTCTAAGGCAGGGGTGGCCAACTAATAGCATGTGCCCAAAAGTCTGGGAAACAGCAATGCCATCAGGGCCAGACTCTGAGACAGAAGTCCAGGGCCCCACACAGCAGAAGCAGGAAGACCCCTCAAATGCAACAGCGGCAGGGCTGGATGACCACATTTTAAAGGAAAGTAATTATCCCCTAAAAGAGAGAGCCTTTGTAAGGCCATTAACTCAAGAATCTAAAATTACTGAACTATGCCATTGCTTGGTAATAAGGTGATGTCCACAGAGACTATAAAGCGAAGCAAGGAAGCCTCAGGGCTGTGATCTCCCTCCTCTTCAAGCACCAAGCTTATTTTCTTCTATAACTCAGGTGCAGAAAGATTACATGAGCAAGCTCAGTGAAAAGAGAGCCTAATCAAATCAGAACTCTGCCTGGAGGGGCAAGAACACTACTGAATGCCGAATTCAATTGATAGCTACTCTGGGTTCAGCAGCTGGCGAGGATGGGATGACGGCCTCTTCCCCAGAACCCCTCACTCATCCGCACAGAGCCTGCTCATGGTGGGTAAAGCAAACTCTGCATAAGGGAACTTCGTCATTTCTAAAAATGAGACATCATACTGCATGTACTGCAACAGAGGACTCATTCACATTTCTGTTTGTCTTGAGATTTCATGTAATCAATTCTTTTTTAAAAAAAGCTTTCAACATAGAATACAATAAAAGTCAAACTAATCTAAATAAAAATAAGACAACAGGAAAATAAAACAATACAAACCCCTATATCAAGGTTGCATCTTAACTCTTATTCCACACAAAGGAGGGTGAGCCCTCCCAGCTCTCACCTGCTGCTTGCCCTGGGAAAACCCTCAGAAAAACTGATTGACATTTGTTCCAGATGCTTCAGCTTACAGACGCTTCAGGTTACAGACTCCGCTAACCCAGAAATAGTACCTTGGGTTAAGAACTTTGCTTCAGGATGAGAACAGAAATTGTGCTCCGGCGGCGCGGCAGCCCCATTAGCTCAGGTTAAGAACAGTTTCAGGTTAAGAACGGACCTCCAGAATGAATTAAGTTCTTAACCCGAAGTACCACTGTATACAGTGGGTTTTCCCTCTCAAGAAAAAGGATGACCTCTCAAGCCTGTGCTTAGGAATCATGGGACAAGTGTGGATGAGCCCTAAGCTCTGCTCTGAAATAAACCCACACCTGCCCATGCTCTGGTCTCCTTCTGTGGTTCGCAGGGGCCTTCTGGCCAGCCAGGAGCCAAAGCATGGATCTGCTGACTAAGAGTCAGGACCATGGATAGCTCACTGTGCATTCAAGATCAGGCCAGGCTACAGGCCTCACAGATTTGCTTGATGTGTCAGATGCCAACTGCAAATCTATGTGGTCCTGCTCAGCAAGGGGGGTGCCTCCAGCTCTGCTGGACTGGGCGAATTGCTTGGGCTTAAAGGGGTCACACCTTATTCCAACGGTATGCGCTCCACAAAAGCTGAGGTGCCTTTTGTCCTCCGATCCAGGGAGTACTTTCTGAACATGCAAGAGACAGGGTGGAAGATGTGGCCTATGCAACTAGATTAGGGGAAACAGGAGCAGAAAGGTAGCAGCTGTGGCATGGGAGCCTTAAGATCATGCAGAGAAACATACAGGGTTGCGCTGGGATGGAATTTGGCACAAAGAAGCCAATCCCCAAGCTCACCCACAACACAGCCTGAGGTGGAACACTGACTTGAGATAATCGATCACATTTACAAACTTAATTTCCATAATGGGGTCCACAGATTCTTCAAGAGTATTTCTGCGTTTGGAAGACAAGGATGGTCCCTGCTAAGTTCCACCTCTCCTGCGCTTGTCAGGGGTGTAGAGATGTCATTCAGGAAGAAAAGAGGAGTGGGGATTATTTTCTGCCCCTTTAGCAGAAGAGATGTATGACTGACAGAAGAGATGTATGACTGGCAGCAAGTGAAGCTGAACATACCCCCCGTCCACACCATATATTTTAAGTGCTATGATACCACTTTATACAATCATGGTTCCTGTCCCCAAAGAATTCTGGGAGCTGCAGATTGTGAAGGGTGCTGAGAGTTGTTAAGAGACCGCTGTGCCCCTCTGAGAATGACAATTCCTAGAGTTCCCTGTGAGGATTGACCGTGAAACTACTCTGAGGTTGTAGCCTTGGGAGGGGAACGGGGTGGGTGGTGGGTCTCTTAACTCTCAGCCCTTTTTAAAAAAACTGCAGCTCCTAGAACTCTCTGGGAGAGCCATGACTGTTTAAAGTGGTATCATAGTGCTTTAAATGCAGTGTGTGAATGTGGCCATAATCACCTATTTATTCCTGTTAAAAGGGACAGCTATAGAAGGGAGAGTTCAGAAGTCAACACCCCTGCAGGAGAAATGTGGGGATAGCTGGCCGATGCTTTCCGGCATATCAGTTCTGCCAGGTGCACCCCAGAAAGGCTATTTCATAATGTGTCTTAAAGACATAGTCTGGGAGGAAATAAGAATGTTAATGATGGCAGTCAATTTAGCACAGCTGCCAGGCTTGCTGAGCAAATGTATATTGCAGGCCATTACTTATGTGCTAAGTAACTATTCCCATTCTTTGTAATAACTATTTTACCCTCAGGGGTACAATGTTCTGACAGAAGAAAGAACATAGAGGTCTCTGTAGCATGGTTAATAATTAATTACATTTGGTTAATTATTTCACAGCCTCTCCAAAAGGGTCTGTTGTTGTAGACAGGAGCCATGAAAAAAATAACAATCACAGAAGCACACACCATCCCTGTTTCTTGTGTCCACACACAAGCCAGGTCATTGCTTGAGCTGCTGTGATGTCATGGAAGGTTTATAAGCACTCTAAGCTCTAAAGCCCAAGTCTGTCATTGTGGAAGGTCAAATATCAGGGCAGGGGCTGTGCGGGAGGTGCAGTGTCAGTTTTGTAGAAAACCCTTCTTGACTGGCTGAGTGCCTGGAGAGGTTGTGTGGTATAGAGAAGCTGTCGAGCAAGAAAGTAGAAACAAAATAATAAAATTGGGCAGAAGTGGGCATAGAGGATATGAGGGCATAAATAAACGGGGCGTAGAGAAATAATAAATAATAATAATAAAATTTTATTTATATCCCGCCCTCCCCAGCCGAAGCTGGGCTCAGAGTGGCTAACAACAGTAAAATTATACAATATACTAAAATCATTTCATTATAAAATCAATTCAATTCAGATGAAGAGATAGTCAGGAGACAGGATGGAGAAGGGAAGAGACAGCTCACACGGGGCCTAGAAATAGGACTGGCAACATGCTGCTGAGTAGACAACTGGTGGAAAGAATTTCACACAATCATTTTTCTGGAAGTGCAATAGCAGAGATATTTCTATTTGGATCTCAGGGGTTAATTCTGTTAATGTTAAAGTCAACTAGACAAGAGGTGGGTGGGTGGAGGTATTGCTTAGCAACCAGACTGGCATGCTCTTTAACAACAACAACAACAATAACAACAACAACTTTATTATTTATACCCCACCCATCTGGCTGGTTCACTGAGGTGGCAAATGTCCTGAAGAGTGTTTTCCTCTGTATATTTGGTTGACCAAAACAAGGACTGAAACCCTCTGTTCCTTTCTCTTCAAATTACGGTATGCACCATTTCCCTCCGTTTCCCTCAGTAAACTGTTACAAAGATTCTTTTTTCACTGCACTCCATCTGCATTACTTAAGTGACTTTGCTAACACTTCGACAATAATCAGCCATAATTTTTAGCCAAATAATTCCAGTGCATTATATTGCTGTAATGTTTCATCCCTGGAAACAGGTGCTTTCCCCTCTTTATTAGTCAGTTAATCTCTCTTGCCTGACTGCTGCTCCTACAACATGCACATTACAAACTTTAATGGAAACTGACAGGAGAGTCAAGAATGTTTGGGGGAAAACTGTAAGAGGCACCACATCTGTTTGTGTGTCCTGCAGTTCAGCACCTGGCATCCTGCTAGAGAAAGGCTTACAAGGAAAGGCTTTTGTTGTTGCATTGCTACTCCTGTGGTTGCTTTTTTTGTGCAAAGTATTTTCTTATCTTTGCTTCCACACAATTAAACACTAGATGTAAGCAAACAAAAGGAACTCTTTAAAAAGCCGTTGGGAAATTTATATAAGTGGATTGACAATTATTGGCCCTGGAGGTGTCCCCAGTGTTCTACAGAAGTGCAGCAAATGTTGAACATTCAACCACAGAATGAAGTAAATATTGTCAGTCCTTCACTGCTTTTGAACCCTAAAGTAATTTGAAAATACAGGAGTCACAGAAGGCCAAAGAGACAGGAAAACATACTATTTTACTGTAAAAGGGTTTTGACCAAGAAAATGGATGTTCTGTGCCATGGCTTAAAAATAAAAAGAAAGAAAGAAATCACTGCTCGGCTTAACTTGGCAAATCCTTTATTAATTGTAATGGAATAAGACTTGTAAGGCCTCCGTTTATACCTTTAATCAGCATCAAAATCTAGGTGGAAAGGCTTATTTGATATTGGAAGTTCTGTAGAAGCAAGCGCTTTAGTAATAGAAAAATGTCAGTCGAATGCTGGGGGGGAAATACTTGCAAAAGGCACAGATCAGCTGAGGAACTAGCTACATAAGAAGAATGAGTCTCTCTCCCAGGAGAGACCAATGCAGAGCAGCCTATAATGTCAGTTGAGGAGAATCCTGTCACATATGGAATTGAACACCAGAGTGAAGTATTGGTTAGGGTGTTGGATTAGGAGCTGGGAGATCTGGGTTCAAAATCCTGACTCGGTCATGAAGCTCACTGAGTGACCTTAGACTAGCCACCATCTCTCAGCCTAACTCAACACCCAAGGTTGTTAGATAAAATGGAATGTGGGGGAGCCAACACCACCACCTTGAGCTCCTTGGAGGAAAAGCGGTATGTAAATATAGGGAGAAAGCCCCCAACCCACCCAAAATACAGGGGAAGAATAACCTGTAGACCTGCCTGAGAATCAGAACTTGTTGCTAGTGTCAGAAAAGGGATTCAGATCTTCTGGGTGTGGAGTCTGAACCTGCTGCTGAACCCACCCAAAGGCAATAACTCCCCTTTAAAGCCCTGATCAAAATGTTAGTAGGCATTGTATAAGCTCATCCATCAAGTGTTGTAATGCAAGGCTCCAAACCAGATAACCCACCCCTTACATTCTGTTTAGCCCTCAATTAAGGGATGGGGTTTGCATGGTGATCAGCTCCAAGCTCAATAGACTTAACATTGGTCAGTTCCCTGGCTGTATTGATCTTGCCTAGATTCTACTGTCCATGCACTGGTAACCTCCAGGCTGGATTACTCCAATGTTTTCTAAGCGGGGCTACCCTTGAGGTTGATCTGGATTCTGGAAGCTGCATCTGGTGCAAAATGCAGTGACTCAACGGCTCATTACCTCTATTGCTGGAGAAATTGCACTGGCTGCCAATCGGCTACTAGGCTATGTTCAAAGTATTGGCTTTGGTGGCTAAAACCCTATATACAGCTTGGGACCAGTTTACCTGAAAGATTGTCTCACCCCTTATATACCCAAATGATCACAGTACTCTGAAGCATCTTCTCAAAAAGTCCATTCCAGGCAATACAGCATTTTGTTGTTATATGAACTACATGAATCTCAAGGCAATTTGCAATCCTACAATAAAAGCTACTAGGTTTAAAAACAGTATAACCAAACAATGGAAATAGAGACCCAAAAGAAACCTTACCAATCCCATCCAGCTGGAAAAGATTGCCGACACAAGAATGTTCTCAATCTGAATTCTCTCTTCCTGCAAAACTTTTTCAGAATCTTCCTCTTAAACCTGAACCTAACTGGCTATTTACAGTACAATCATAAACATGTCTACTCAGAAGTAAGACTCTTGGTTAAATGGAATTGGGAGGCTGGTATAGAATTGTAGTCACAAACTGCTGGGATTCTAAAAGCAGGCGGGGGCTGGACCTGAGAACTCTCCAAAGGTCAAATTGTGTGAAACTGTTCATCTTACTCTGGTGACATTTCCCATTTCTGCAAGTTTTCACACCAAATCCTAAAACTATTTTTGTTTTTTATGCCGTGGGAGTTTAATAAGTGGGTTGAGGAGACAAGAAACTTCTCAAGAAAAAATTACTGTGGTCTCGTGGATCACAGCTAAAGTGTTTGAAAGAGAAACACCGGAGCTTGAGGATGGTGACTCACAGCAGAAAGGATTGAAGCGAAGCGAAGGTGATGGATAAAGTAAGTAAGAAATAATAAAGAAAACAAAAGTGGGGGTAGAATATCTTCAAAGCTGAAGATGGTTTCTCTGCTAACCTAAATGGGAAATAATTCTGATTTCATTTTTTTCCTGGAAAGGAATCTGGTTTCCACCACCAGTTACAAATTTTGAAATGAACAAATGATTCCTTGTGCTGCTTCAGTTGAAATATATCATTAACACTTCAAAATGCAATTTTAAAAGTAACTGAAATAATACAGGGATAAGATAATCTACCACCAAGCTTTTCACAGCTGTTGGCAAAAAGCAAAAAAAAGAAAGAAAAAAAGCCAAAAGGCAAGTTACAAGAACAATGTTTTGCAAAAAAAAGAAAAGAAAAAGTAAGGTCACCGTATGTTGACCCCTGAGAGTTGGGATCTCGAAGTGAGAGCAGGACAATCAGGGACCAACCACAATATCAGGAACTCGTCGGTGTTTTCAAGATGATCGGCCCTTCTTGGAACACCGCTGGTCCACAATCCAGATGTTCGCAGCTGCATTTCTCACGCTGGACCAGCGCAACTCTCCTTTCTTGGTCCAACCCAACACGGAGGCGAGAAAAGGCGTTTCAACAACAACAACAACAACAACAAAGCTCAGCCTTTTTACCTGTTGGTGGCCAACGGAGGCTCCAGCTGGGCAGGTGCCGACGCCGCCCGGAGAGATCGCATCACCCTGGGGGTGCCCCCCGTCGTCGCCCTGACCTCCTTCTCCCAGCCCCTGGCAAGCAAGCGAGACAAACCCAAGTTGGCCAGCCGGGAGCATTAAGTGGCGCGAGGAAGGAGCCCAGTCCAGCCACAGCAAAGACCTGGGCACCTTCGTGCACGCCCCCCCCCCCCGCAAAAAACGCGCGCCCCCTGCCTTGGGGAAGCCTCCCTCGTGCAGGGAAGCTGGAGCTGGCCTCTCTCCCGACCCCATCCCCGTGACTTCATCCCCGCCGCGTGGGATCCCGCCACCCCCAGCAGCCCCCCAGGCAAGACCCCCTCCAGTACCTCGCGCCGCCGGAGCCATCGGCGGAGAGCCACCCGAGGCACAGGCAGAGGAGCAGGCTGCCCAGCAGAGCCGCCAGGGCAAGGACCGCCCGCATCGCCGCCGCCGTGGGGAGGAGAGCTGCCTGCCTGCCTGCCTGCCTGCCTGCCTGCCGCGGGATCCGGCCGCCGTCGCCTCTGCCCCCGCCCGCCCGCCTCCCACTACAGCGAAGGCGACCCCGTCGGGCAGAGCAGGGGCGGCGGCGAGCGGCAGAGCAGGGTCGGCGCTGCTCGGCTGCTCTCGCCCCCCGCCCCTCGCTCGCTCCCGCCCCCCGACGCCGCTCTGGCTCCGCCCCCCTCCGGCTCCTGGCGGATCCGCTTCGCCTCCTGCGGGGTCTGGGGAGACGAGCTGCCGCCGGAGGGGCCTCAGCTCATCCCAGCCCCTCGGCAGCCCTAGCTAGTCGCTCAAACTCTCGCGGGCTCGTGTCTCACAGAGGCAGGAGGAGAGATCCGGAGAGAAGGGATGGGGAAGTTGGGGGGGGGGGGCGGGTCGGGGAGATCTGTGCCTTGAGAAGATCGGGGCGAGCGAGCTCTCCTAGCCACAAGACCCGGGTTCATTGGAAACGGCAAAGGCTGCCTCTGAGCACGTGCAGAGAGTCAGCGGAGGGCCAGAGGTAGACGGGAACTCAGCTGATGAAGGAAGAGGCAGGATGGAGATCAGGCTCGCAGCCCAGGCGGAGGGCTTGCCAACCATTCCCCCCGCTGTAGGCGGCTGCCATGAGCCGTCGCGCCCACCCCTCTAAAGTTACCACTAGCAGAAGAAGCGCGCGGGGGGGGGGGGGGGTTGCTGCCATAAATCTGCCTCTTCCCCCAGCCCCCCCCCCCCCAGCAAATCGCAGCCTAGGAGGATTTCTGTTGGGGAAATGACAAAGTGGGGAATAGGAGCCAATCCTAGGGGCTGAGGTCCCTTCGCCCCAATAAAATAATTGAACACCCCCCCCCCGTTGATGGGCATTTCTATTCACACCTGGGCTCCCCCAATATTTTATTCAAGTTGAGATAGGGAGAGCAGAGTCACAAACTCCTCTTTTAACCAGAGGAGGCACACTATTCTGCCCTGTCCAGTTAAACTCGGGGGACCTCCAGGGAAACCCTCAAGGTGAGGAGCCAGGGTGAGGGCTTTTCCCTGCTTGGCTTGAGAGATTTGACTCTTTGCCTCACCCTCTTGCTTGCCATACATGTTATATTCAAGGGCTTGTGCCTGTGATTAATTTTTACTGGCTTTTAATGACTGTATTGTTGTTCTGTATTGTATTTTAATTGTACTGTGGCACAGAAAGAGGGGAAATCTTGGCGGCGGGGGGATGGACAGCCCCCATCAGTGCTTTCGATTTATACGATGACACATTCTTCTAAAGAGCATGAGGAAATCTCAGAAGGTGATTTAAATTACACGTGTGAAAACGTGCCTGATCATGCAAGAAATCTTGCAGGCTATATATATATATATATATATATACAGTGTTGTGAGAGGTTCGCAACAAGAATCTGATAAACATTGTGAATGCGAACACCAATTGCAATTCCTAGAGTCCCTTAAGGGAAGCCATAAATGTCATAAGAAGAGGCTGATGTGCTGAAAAAACCTGGAGATGCCAGAATGTCCTGGGCCTCTTTTATGAGTGTCATCGAATTTTCTACAATACAGTGATGGCACTGGGCAATAGATATTCATCAGGGTGATCAAATGAAAGGAACTATGTTTTATTCCTGCCCTTCAAAGGTGTCTGTACAAGGTGGGAGAAGGATTTTGGTGCTCCAGTGAACATCTATTTTTGGCATCTCATAAATTAGGAGTCCACCAAGTACCTATTCAACTGGGGGGGGGGGATCTAAGTCAGTCCCAGGCATAACCTGCTGAAGTGGGCATTTTATTGTGCCAGCGTATGAACTTAAAGAGTGGTAGAATAGTAGATGTCCTGGCTCCCAGCTGCTGAAAAAACAAAAGCCTTGAAGAAGGATTCTTTCCCAAGGCCTTAATGTTTAGAGATCACTTTGGTACACATGCAAATCACTGGTTTCAGGCAATGCACATGGTTAATCCTAACTACAGCTGCAACAAAAGGCAAGTGCTTTTAACTGCCCAAACTTTGGATGTTGTTGCAACACCGTCACACACCTTTGGTGTAGGAATGAGGTGCACCCATCTTCTGCAATCTCTCACTATGCCTAGCCGGCATAGTGGATCCTCCTGGACCTAGGTGAAGGGGGACGTGACTATGTCTTCTGAGAGGTGGCCAGGACTGGTGAAATATCACCTTCTGGGTATCTGATAATGCCAGGGTGGGTTGCTGTGCTGGTCCCGGGGGGAAGGTTACCGTTGGCGTAGTCAAAGTCCGGTCCTGGGTCACTGGTCTGGAAACAGTTCTCAAGGAGCGAGATGAGGTCCGAAGCAGGAAGCCGGGCGGGGACAGGAACACTGGGGGAACAGGACTGGATGCTGGCCGAAACAGCTCATCGATGACGTTGCTCCCGCAACCTGGGACCGGGCTGACTGGCCTTTATCTTCTCTGAGGCCAGGGGCGGTCCCGGCCCCCAGGAGACCCGCCTCTCCTGGCCTTAAGGCGAGCACTCCTCCTGGGAGAAACCAGTTCCCTTCGCCTCTCTGCCCTGAGCCTCTGCTGTTCAGGAGAGGCCGAAGGGTTACTGGGCCCAGGGGGAGACTCACCTGTAGGCACTGAGTCCTCAACCACCTCCGGAGCCAGAGTGGATTCACCTGGTGCCTGCTCCTGAGGATCCGGCACAGGTGCAGGCGCTTCAGAATCAAGGCCCTGCCCCAGTTCAGCCGGCCCTGGAGGCAGGGACTCCTGTGCAGGCTGGGATTCCTCCGGTTCAGCCTCTGAATCGGAATCCCAGGCCATCACAGTTGCACAACAAGCACCATGGGTGTGTCAGAGATGATGCTCTGACAACCCTAGAGAGGGAGGTGGGGTTCATCCATCATGGGGATGGATGAAGCAAGAGAGCAGGTTGAGGGAGCACACACACACATACACACCAAATTCCTGGGCTTTCAGTGTTGGCTGTGATGTGAGAACGCGTTGCAGTCTGGTATAGGCTGTTTGGATCCCAGGCTACAACTACAGGAGAAGCAAGACCCTTTTGCAGTATTAAGGCTGCAAACCGCTCCATCATAGGCTCAGGTTGTACAGGGTGAGTCTTTTAAAAGAGGCCCTGTGGAACTTGTGTACTCTGTATCCACGGGGCCTCTTTTAAAGAACTCACCCTGTATATATATGTGTGTGTGTGTGTGTGTGTGTGTGTAAATAAACCATCTATCATAAAGACACCACAGTCTCAGCTGTGCCTCATTTCCAAAGGGAAACAGGAACCCTGGGTAAGCCACCAAGAACCCCCTAGAATCTCGCACCGCGGGGAGATTGGGGCAGCATGCAGCAATAGTATATTTCAGAACAAACTCTGGCATAATTTAGTCATGCAGACAGATCTGAGTGTCTGGAATGTTCAAGTTGGTTTACAGTAAATTTGAAATAGCTACAGGGCATTCAACAAAGCAAAGCAGAAAGAAAAGAGAAAAGTCTATGGAGAGATTAAGTACATAAAATGAGTCCTGCTGAATCAGGACATTGTCTATCTAGTCTGGCATTTTGTTTCCAGCAGTGTGATCAACCAGCTGCTTCTGGGAAAATTACACGCAGGGCATGCAGTGAAGTCATTAGTCAAGTCATTAGTCATGCCAGCTCCCCACTATTGTCCATTCCCAGCACCTGACATTCAGAGGCCTGCTATTTCGGAACATGGAGCTTGTGTGACAATTCAGCTATTGCAGATGCTGAATGGATTTCCAACAGGAGTCCACTTGTATGTGCCTTTCATAGCTGGGCAGCCTATCTCATGCATGCTTCTTACATAAGAAATATGAACAGGACTGGAGGCACTTGTAATGAAGTACAGAACAAGCTCATGTTGGCAGTCATCAAATTCCAATCGATTCAGTGGAATCCCTGATATTTATTTATGTAACAAAATGTATATACCACTTGATTGCAATGAAATCTCAAAGCTGTTTGTAAGGTAGGTATGCCTAAGATGATGGTCTCCTCTCAGGTCCATTTCTATAGGTGCTACGCAGCCAACTATCAACTGCTCAAGGAGAAATTCCATTTCCTTGGATACCTTCAATCAGAATCTCCCAATTATATTAATATTTCACCATTGTGCTGCTGTGCAGTGTCATAAAAACAACAGGTTTGAACAAAGCGAGAGGAAGCATGGTAAAAAGGCAGATCACCTGACCTGTTGTGAATTATGGAGGATGCTATTTTTAAAACCCTATTTTTAAAGTGCATCCACTTTTCCAACTTCAACTGATTTGAAAGATGAAAGATCTCAGGGAGGACTGGCTCTGCCATAATGGGAAAGCGAGTCAGCAGGTGCACAGGAGTGGGGAGACAGAATTGCGGAGTTTGAAGGAACCACAAGGCTCATCTAGTCCAACCCACTGCAATGCAGGAATCTTTTGTCCAATGTGGAGAAGGAGCCATAGCTCACTGCTAGAGCAAGCAGATGGTCCTAGTTCCAGTCCCTAGCATCTCTAGGTGGGACCCCGCCTGAAAACCTGGAGAGCAATTACCAGTCAAGGTTGCCGGTACAGTGGTACCTTGGGTTAAGAACTTAATTCATTCTGGAGGTCTGTACTTAACCTGAAACTGTTCTTAACCTGAGGTACCACTTTAGCTAATGGGGCCTCTCGTTGCTGCCACACGATTTCTGTTCCTATCCTGAAGCAAAGTTCTTAACCCGAGGTACTATTTATGGGTTAGCAGAGTCTGCAACCTGAAGCATCTGTAACCTGAGGTACCACTGTACTGAGCTTGGTTGATCAATCCTATTAGGCAGCCTCTTCCTATGGCCCCAGGACACAGGTGTGTGTGCCTCATGGCTTGCTATACATACCTTAAACAGAAAAATGTCTTGGTCCAGCCATGCACTGAAGACACTGGTAACCGGAGTCCAAGCTGCCATCTCATTAAGATCTATAGGAGTTTACCCATTGGTTTTAATAAGACCAGGACTGCATCTGAAGATGCATCTTGATGAAGCCTTCTGGTGAGCAGATGACTCCATTGCAGCTCTGCTGGCCTTCCAGCTGCTGTACTCTGCAGAGGGCAATATCTTGGCTGATGCAGACAAAGGGAAAGGGCCACATCTCTGTTCTCCAGGAGGACAGGCTTTAAATGCCAAAGATGCTTGACTCAATCTCAGTCATCTCCATCCTAGAGAAACCCCAACAACTATGTTGGGAAAGACCACTGCTCACAACCCAAAGAGCCACAACAGCAAACTGCACTGCGTTAGATATCCCCAGAATTTAGCTACCAGCATCTTGTCTGGATTTTTTAAAAAGTTATCAATTGATTTCTATCCTGATTTTTGACCCAGAAGGATTCATAGTCGGTTTACATTGGGGGGGGGGTGTGGAAACACAGTAGAGCTTTTTTATGGAAATGGTTTCTGAAAAATATTATCAGTGGGTTGCTGAAATTTAAATCCTAAACTGGTAATTGGGAGCATATCTTGCCAGAGCATAAAGAGCTCCCAGTCTATTTACAAGAACTGGTGCTTATCTGGGTCTCTTCCAGACAGTCACTATTTTGTGGAAGAGATTCATCACATTCCAGACATTTAGCTTTGTTTAATTAAAGTGGATTAAAGAGTTCTGGTACAGCAAATTCAGTTTTAAAAAAACAACCCACCAACATACTTTTGAAATTGTAAAATGAACTGAAATGTGTGGGATAAATTGACCGGAAGTCATATACTGTAATTTCCATACAAATAAATCAGGATGAATCTTCAATGAAGACTGGGCATTGTATAATCTCTGTGCAAGCTTTGGCCAAGCAAAGTAGGCCGAATGTTCACTAGACAGGTCATCTGGAGGAACCTCAGGGAATCTGAAGGACTGCTCTTTCCCACGTCAACCTGCCAGCTGCTATAAATCTCAGTGTACTGGGATTACCTCCAGAGGTTCTCTGTTAAGTTGTGAGTGAAGATATCAGACAACACAGCGATTCTTCAAACAGCTCTTGTTTATTCACAGGCCAGAACAGTACTGAACTGAAGGGTTCAGCCAGCCTGCTTATATAGAGCTCCAGTACAACGTAACTGTAACAATTTTCTAAAACTATCCAATCACTGAACGTCACTTTCGATCCCTTATTTGCATAACTATCTACCGTATCCCCCTGCTGGCCCAGGGTGAGAACTTCAGTACATAACATTCTCCTCCAGGGGATCCTGTCACTTGAGAAGACTCCTGAGGATGCCTTTCATTTGGAGAAAAGGGATTCTCCATCACCCCTGAGTGCTGACTGTGTGCTCCTTGAAAAAAGCTGTAATCTGGAAAGACCCCATTGTTACACAGTACTGGGTGATGCTGCAGTTGCAGTTGCAAAATAGCCTTGGCTTTTACAATGGGGGAAGCCAGTGTGTTCTCCATTTCAATGCAGAGGATGGAATAAAGCTCACTCCTGTTGTCAGTCATATGGACTCCCTTTTGCATCTTTTCATTTCACAACAGCTAAATTGCTCAGCTTCTGAAGGCCTATTTGGGAAGCACTCAGTGAAGCGTGAGCTATCATCTAACAGAGGAAACAAGAGAGGCACCTGCATCCTATTGTGCCATTCTATTTCTCCACAGGCCATGGTCCATGGACCATCAGTGATCTACTGCCTATGCAACTCCTATCCCTGAAGCTGTCACCTGCACATGTGCTGTCATCCATGCATGTGCAATGGCAACCTCAAATGTACACACAGGTGACTGTGGCTTGGGTTTTGCTTTTGGATTGAAGCTGCTTTGAGGGGGAATGCATTGAACATGCATTGAAAATTGAAATGCATTGGAAAATATCTCTCTCATTATTTCCCAAGGATAGCCCTGTGTCGTGAGTACTGTCATGGGTACACAGATTCAAAAGCCAGCTGTGGGGGAATAAACAGTCTGAGTCTCAGGTTTTTCCTCCTTAGCCAGTATACTATTCCAAAAGCAGCAAGCACGGCAAGATCATCTCTCCAGGACCTGGGGCATGAATTTACTTCCCGCCACTTCTTCCCACTCCACCATCCCTTTTTCCTTTCGAGTCATGTCTTTTACATTGTGAGCCTGAAGCCGAGGGGCGGGGGGGGGGGGGGGAAATGCTGTCTTTTCTGCTGCTGATCTTCTGTAAGCAGCCCTGGGTGTGCTTTAAATAGATAAATTTAAGTGCCTTTCTCAAATAAATAAGCAAAGAAGTAAGCAAACTTCTCTAGATGGATGAAGAATATTGTCACAACACACATACAGAGGTTGCACAGAAAAGGCACAGTGCTTGCCTAGCTACTTGAATGTGGCTTTTTCATGAAAACTAAACAAAAAATGAATCGTGCTTTAGCGGGCTCTGGTTTGGAATCTGGTGGTGCATGGATCTTGCTTGGTCTAGAAGTACTCAGTCCCCAGAAGCAGACAAGCTGCATTGAACCAGGTCCCTGTAAGCCCTGCCCATCCTCATTCTGCCCCATCACACTTAACTTCCTAGAGGGGAGCTTTTAGAAGATGCTCAGATCACACATGGAGGCATATGAAGGGATGGGGGAGAATTCCAAAGAGAAGGCAGCATGAAACGATCAAGCACAGCTTCACTCTACATCCCCAAAGGCCGGTCTCTCCATCATTGGATTTTTCTGTATAGAGTATTCGTGCACACACTCACACAACAAAGAAACGAAGAAACAAGTACAAATTTCATTATATCCTGGCAATTCCAGACATCCTACATTAGCCTGGGTAGCG